GGTTTTCAGGGTGTAGTCTAGGCTTGGGGTTGAGGGTTTAGGAGGCAAAGTTGAGGGCTTTTGCAGCTCTAGGGTTTGTCGGGTTTGAGGTCTACGTGTCCTTGAGCACCTTCCGGGCAATGAGCCTCAGTCCTTTTGGAGTTGCGGGTCGAGGACCAAAGTAGAATCTGCCGGGGCCTGAATCCATCATGTCAGTGCGACAATCCCCGGTGCGCGAATCTACAGCACGCCAATTCGCCGCGCAGTGCGCTAATCTCCTGTGCATGAACCCGCCGGTGCGTGCCCGGGTAGAGTTCTTCCTGTTGCGAGATGAACTAACGACACAGCCTTTTGGCTGCTGCTCCATTCTTGGAGAGGTTATGCAGTGGTCGCAGTGAGAAATTCTCGATCCGCGGGAGGCCCGCAGCCGCAAGGACACCTACCTCTTCGAGCTTGACAGAGGCTTATCTGAAAAAAGTTTGTTTTGGCGTCTGGCAACTTGAATTATACAGTACCAGAGACGCCGAGGAGAGACGAGCTGTCATCAGTCTGAAAACTGGCAAAGCAGCCGCTTGATTGAAATGATGCTGAAACGAGAAGCGCTGAAGGAGCAACATTGCGAAGCCAGCCTGGCATGTTTATTCCGTCGCCAAGCAGCCAAGGCATTGTTCTCCTCTTCATTCGGAAGAGTTTGCTGAATGTGATCGTGACCGTGTGCCTGAAAAGGGCGAAGGATCACCGCCAGCATGTTGATGACTGTAGCGAGAGCCGGCAAGCCATTGCTGCAGTGCTACGCTACTCTACAGCGCCTACGCAGCTGCTTCCATTGTACTGTTTGGATTGCACTCGAATCGAGTTCCACATCCATCGAAAGGACCGGCGATACCAGGTGAGTTGCACCAGTGCCCTGGGTAGTCTTGGAATGTTTTCTTTTGCTTGAGCTTGGTTTACGCACAAGTCACTATCAAAGCATTGAGGTCTGGGAGGCAACGTCATTGAGACGATCCAGATGGGAGCTTCTTGATGCGGACTTCTGCAGGGTTTTGGAGTGCTGAATCAGGATGGGTTATCGCATTCATATTCCCGCAACAAGTCAGCCCGGCAAATCTTTGAGTGATGATCCGCATGTCAAACGAACACGAACAACAGTACAACATGCCACAGCCATGAGCCTTGAGCTTAGGCCTCGGCTCGCCTGGGGGAGCTTCGGGAGCACCTCTGCAAGCGGCGACCCGGTTGATCCTGCATCATGTTCGCCTCTTCCCTCACGGTGGGGCTGGGATCTCTTACCCGGAAGTCTATGTAGGACAAAACTATGCAAAGCTCTTCTCCAGGGCTCGACGACCCTGCTCTGTTTCTCTCCCTCTCTCTCCCTCTCCCTCTCCCTCCAGCCATGCTCTGCGTCACTCTGATGAAGTTGGCGGTTCTAGCGCTTGGCCAAGGAAGACTGGCCAGAGCTATGGACTTGAACCCTAGAGAACACAACACCCTTTGTGCGAAACGCCCGCATCAGAACCAGGCTCGTCCTGTCGAGGAACAGATTGACTCTTCTTGCAGAGGCCGGGCAGCCTAGCTGCAAGAGTTTATCTCCAGCTGCGCATTCGGTGCAAGCGCTGGAGAGAATCGTCATGCAGTAGCCGAAGCCGCGATTTTGCTTGCTCAGCGCTCGGCAACTTCTCCGGGCGGTCATGCAAATGGACCAGTTCATTTTGTACACAGTCAAATGAAAGTGAGGCATGCGCACAAGATGCTTGCTCCTTGCCGACTAAAGCGCAAACAAACTTGAGATGCAGCAGATGCAGGCTGGAACCGTCCTCTCTGCGGATCGAGATGGTCAGGCACTCGAAGCTGTGGCCTGAGCCTGGGAGTAGAGTGGTTTTGGCGTTCTTGTTGACGCAAGTCCTTGCCATAATCTGCTTATGCTTTGTTCCCATGTGGACAAGAAACGAAATGGCTACGTTGCATCACAAGTACATGCCCCAATGTGTGGCTCAGATAAGATTTCACAGACTTGGAAAGGTCCTGGACTCTGTCGCGGCATGGGGTGGCGCGTGATCCACGCCAGGGCATGGCTGCATGCCCCGGTTGAAAGCATCGTGTGCAGATTTGGGAGAATCCCGAGATCCAGCGCTGAACGAAGCGTGTGACATAGTGGAATCAAAGGTTCTCTCAGCGCCGCCGTAGTCTGCTTGGAATGAATCTTCCGTTTTGTCGCTTGAGATGCGGGATACCATCGTATCTCCCTGCGGTTATAGCCGGAGGGATGATTGGTTGTGTCTAGTCTGCCCAGACTGCCGGCAGCTGTGAGTTGCCAGCAGGTGCCCAGATGGCGGTCTAATTACTCAGCTCTGGATATGCTCGACACGCTGATCCCCTCTGTCGGTGCAGTGGGGGCAGTTGCTTGCCCCGCCCAGCATGCAAGTTTCGAAGGCCGTACACAGAAGACTGTACGGCGTTGTGCAGAGTCAGGACCTTGCGAAGATTGGGCTTCTGCACGATGCGGGAATTCCAGCTGCGGTGTTTTTCGAGTCGAACCTTTCTTGGATCATATGCAACCGAACCATCGTGATTCGGCCTAGACTGAAGCGGTGGGGAGAGGCCTGAGGCAAAGGGTTGGAAATAAGTATATCAGGGGAAAATTCGAATAATCTATGAATCGGGAAGATGCGAGCTTAGCGAAACATAGGATAGTGTCGAATATGATAATCCTGTGTTAATCATATGTTTCTCCTATTTTTGTCCCATTTTCCTTACATGAGAAAAACCTAAAGGGAACCATGGAAAACTCATAGGAAAAACAGGATTGTGTCGAATATGAACCAGTTTCGACACTTTTTCGGTTTTGCATAGAAACCTAGGATTTCCCAACGAAATATTGGTTTATTTCTATGTTTCTATTGGTTTTTGTCTTTTTTCGATTACTTTAAACAAGAACAATAGGATACTAATAGGGCTAAATAGGATTTTTGTAGACAACGAATCATTTTCGATTTTTCAGATTTCTGCATCGAAAGCTAGGATCCCACAGAAATCATGTTTTAATGTATTTTTAGCTGATTGTTTTTTGTTTCCGTTTTATTTCTCAACTCAACTTTTGAAGAGAACACAAGGGAAGCATTGACCATTGAGAAGAACAACGTTGGATTGTGTCAACAATGAACCATTTTCAGTGCTTGTTCGATTTTGCATCGAAACCTAGGATTTCCAAAATCCTGTGTTAATTCTACTTTTGCAAATCTTGAATTCATAAAATTATCGAATTTTTTGCCTAAACATGATTATTTAAGGATTTGCCATTGTAGCCCAGCACCCCAACTCGTAAGCTTAGGCTCGCACTACTTAGTCTAGTTTGCCTGTTGGATTGGCGGATTTCGAGCCTGGGCACCTCTGGTGGCACTGGACTCTGGTCTCCTCACATGTTTGGGGCTTCAAAACGCTCAAGACTCTTCATGTGCTCAGTCTGGTGCCGGCATGTTTGCACGAAGGCTCACAGCCTTTTACAGACTTCGCGTATTTCTTCCTGGAGTCCGTCCAGTGCTGCCATGGCTATGGAGAAGGCTACAGCTCTCCTGAAGGCATCTTTAACTTGTGCCTACATTCCCGGAGAGATTCCAAGCATGAGGGTAAGCCGGATAAGAGCTTGAAGTATCGTGTCTTGTGTAGACGGGAAGGTGATGACAAGAGTCTAGTTTCGCAGACAGCCCTTGAAAGAACAGGGTTCTTGGTTTGTCCAAACTTAATCGTCTGGTCTTCGGGTCCTAGGGTGCGTCTTTTCCAGCGCAGTCTCCTGCTTCGTTCGGCGAAGGAGGAGGCAGTCTTGCAAAAGGCCGTACTGAAGAAACGACTACAAGCAAACTGCCTTGAGCTGCTGTTTGCACAACACGAGTCGAGACTGCTGTGGGAAGCCCCTTGGCCAAATGGCTGCATGCAGTCTGGAAAAGCTGTAGACAACTTCATAAAATGCTTCTTGTTCAACAGCCACCAGAATATTCGGCCCGTGGACAATCGGATTGGCAACAGTCGATTCACACGTGCCGCTTTACGAATTTGATGGCTCGCGGTGCTTACATCGTGCTGGTTTCTTGGCGTGGTTCGACTCAGAAGCCCGCCTGCCGGCATGAAAGAACGAGTTCTGAGTGAAAAAGCCAATTTGATATGAGAAGAGGCGGCTAAATGACAACAACATCTCCTGTAAACTTACTGGAGCAAAGGTTTCCTGCAGGACGAGGTGTGCAGTTGTGGGTCTGGGGATGGTGCGGATGCAGTGCGTCGTTTATTTCCGGTTGTGGGTTGGTTTTTGGAATGTTCCGATCGCACTTTCGGCCTTTCGCTGAGAGGCGCTGCCTTCTGCCAAGGCCGGGGTGCAGCAAAAAGGGCAGGGTGACTTCAGCCCAGGAGCAAGGAGTCCACCGTCTACCGTCTGCGCCTCTGTCCTGTGTCAAGTCCCGCTAGGTGTGCACCTCGCTGAGCTCAGCAGTGAGTGCCGCAAATGCATCAGAGGACAGGTGAACCAGGGGGTGAACCATGTAAAGCGGATGAATCACACTCTGACTGGGCAGCAATACCTCCGCCCGCGATACGAAATGCCAGCTGCTACATTTGAGCGGAGTCGTCGGCCCGCTCTCGGGAGGAGGGCAAGTGCTGGGCCGCTCTTCAGCTTGGAACGTCCACCCTCTCCGAGGCGGAGAAATCGCAGCCATCACAAAGAGCTTCCGCTGTCCTTGTTTTCCCGCCTTGGAGGTGCAGACCGCCCTCCAGCAGGGATCGAAGCAGCTCGCAGTGCTGTTAGTGGCCACACAGAAGCCTGTCTCGCAGCTGGAGGTGGGCAGATGGCGCTTTGAGATGCAATATCTGAAGCAGTGTCGGTCGACAGTAGCTTGGATTTCGGTGTTACTCCAGATCCGCTGTGGTCGTGGACTTGTAAGTGCAATCCGGTGGCGAGCAATTCACAGACATCCTGATCCATCACCCGAGTTTACAATTCTTGTGCCCTCGGATATACTTAAGAGGTGCTGCGCGCGATGGAGTACGGTGGCGTCTATGTGGCTGCTGGAGAATTAGAGAGCTCAGGCAAGCAGCTCTTTACATTTCAGGTTCGGGCAGAGGACTCTCAGCTTTCGCTGTATCCGCGGTCCTTGCCGGGACAAACTCCGTGTCAGTGAAAGGAGCCTACAAGGCTTATACTAGCTATGACAGCTATGACTAGACTCTGGACATCACACTTCTGTTCCAAACTTCACAGAATCAAACAGATTCGCTTTTAATTGGTTGTGCGCTGTGCGTTGTGTACCCACTGCTGTCTGGTTTGGCACCCCTCCCTCTTCAAGCGTCTCAAGACGGCTGAACCCTGCTTAGCCCCGCAGCCTAACCACCCCAACCGTTCCGCAAGCAGGGAGATATGCAGCACATATTACGTGGTCCAGGCATGGTGTAATATATATATATATATACATATATACATATATTATAGTATATATATATATATATATTTTATATTAGATATTATATGTATATTTTATATTATTATTATTATTATGATTATTATTATTATTATTATTATTATTATTATTATTATTATTATTATATATATATATATTATATGTATATCATATATGTATATGGTAAGCCAGGCAAAAACTCATACACATGCAGGGATCTTTTATGGCACGGGGGGTCCGCTGGGGCGCAACATGGCGCAACCTTACATGGCACGCCTCTCTCGACTTTCGACTTTCAGTATTGACGGAGCTTCCCAAGCGGCCCCATCTTAAGACTAGGGAATTCGCCGTGCAGGCGCCCTCCTCAAGGAGGCTGCTGGCTACACTGAGGGCCCTGCTTTCGTGCTGCTCGCTCCAGCAGAGACCATCAAGGAGTGGCGGGATGCAGGTTTAGTCAGCAAGGTGGCAGTCCAGATCATGCTAACCAGCATTTTTCAATTTCAGCTGCCAGGGCGACGAGAACTGGACATCCTTCAGGTGCATGTCTGCACTTATGGTCATGATGCAGCAGGGTAAATCTGATTCTAGATTTTGGCTGGCCCGTAGCAGAGCCGAGGTACGATCCCCGCAAGGAAGACAAAGGCCGGCTGCGAAATAGTTGGGGACCCTGTGTCGAGCGGTTCCAAAAAAGCATCATTGTTTGAAGAATTTACAGATGACAGCTCTGATCTTGCTGCGACTGTCTGTTAAACCATTCTTCGCTGTCTTAGATAGCGATCTGCCAAGGCTTCGCACTTTTGCTCAGGTCTTCGTTGTTAGGTCTGTTAGGTACCAGTGGCTTGAGGCGCGTGTGGAAGCAGCGCTGCCAGGCCTGCCTGCCTTCTCCACAGACAGCGCGCGCGTCCGTCAGGAGATTCAGGACTGTCCAGACCTGCTTGGAATTTCGCAGAAGATCTGTAACAGGCTTTCATCGACGGTAGTATGCAGCCATCCTTCGATGTTTGTTGGAGTTGCTACTATCTTTTGCAAAGCCTCTCCAGCATGGTTGATGCTTGTCAGAGCAAGACGGCACATGCAGCATAGCCAGGCAGCCATGAAGAACAAAGGGGAAGGTTTGCATCGATTGACTGCGATATTCCGATGAGTTCAGCTGGTCTGCGAAACGTGCTTGGATTTCACTTGACGGAAATTGCTGAGAGAAGCTTGAGGCATACATCTGCAGACACAACTGCCCAACTCCCGTGTAGTTGCCTGGCAGGGCTTCCTTTCCAGGGAGAGTCTGCTGACACTGATCGCAAAGAAGCTTGGGACTTGAATTCGAAGGCCACTTGGGCACGGAGGGTCACAAATTCTCGATTCTGTTCAGGTCGTTGCCTTCTGCCACGGCTGCCAACGGTGGTGATGCCGCTGCCCTTAGCGAAGGCCGTGGACAGAGAGGAGAGCCGTGCGACAGTCAAACACGTTTTCGAAGCTCGTCCAGGCCTTGCTGCGGCCTCAAAGACCGCCAGGGACTGAACAGATGAGCAGGGTTTGATGGTGACGAGTCTGCCCAGCGTTCAACATGCCTCGTCATTCTCCTTCACCGAATGACTGGGAAAGCAACTGGCCAGGCAATGGTGAGGGAATAATCATGAGTTATATGACTGATGAATCCCTTTTCATGCATCTACTTTGAGAGGCGAGGGCGAGGCTGTGCATATACCTTCATTGCTGAGCTATATATCGGTTTGCCTATTTTGCTCAAGCCGGGAAGCCAGAGCCAAACTCGCCAACCGATAGATTCGCCGATAGATTCGCCGATAGATTTTTTTGCAGGGGAGTGACCCATTTGCAAAGCGTGTCTCATTTTCCCACAGCAGTGATCTGTTGTGACATGGAACATGCGTTCCTCGACATTGCGCATCGTACCAAGAAGTCCATCATGCACCCGGCTGCAAGTATGGAGTGGCGTCATCGAATCAACAAGCTGGTGCAAGAAGGTAACTTGCCTCCGGCCTGGGTCCTTTGGGCTTCCCAGTCCGAGTTGCTCCTGCACGGATCATTGGTCAGTGCTTGTGGCGGCCGGCTCTTGTCCAAATCTTCTCACCAGCGCCCCCGGTGAATTCTGCAGACATTGGAACTTGCATCAGACCTGTGGTGGGAGGACATTCTGCCCACGCATGCTTCCCGACTCATCCTGAGAATTGGGCAGCAGACGCAGTTCGCTACCCGCGGTGATGTTTGGGCGTGGCATCAAGGCGATCGGGAAGTGTCGCGACGCCCGTGGAGTTGTGCTTGGAAGCTGGTGAGGCAGCCAGTGCCATCGCTGTGAGTCCCCGCTCTGTCGAGACTGTGTGCAAACGTGGCGAAGGTCAGGCAGCAGGCGAGCCTTGCTGACGTTTGGAGAGCCGCGCCGCCCTTTGTCAATGTCGATACTCGATACTTCCTGCGCGGGGGGGGGGGTCGGGTCCTGACTTGCTCAAGGTGTTTGGCGCAGGCGGTGTGGCCACGATTTTCCGAGCTACAGTTTCAAGTGTGGTGGGCCGTGGCCCTTGAACCTAAACGCTTTGGTGCTGCAGTCCCGATGATTGCAATCATGGAGGTTGCCGTTAGGAGCGCTGGGGCGTGCGAGGGAAGCAACTTTTGAACCGCGCGGGGTTTCATGACTCCGCCTGATCGATGGCTGCGGGTCCGAACTTTTTCTCTGGCATCGCCTTCAACGAGCACGTGGCATACTCTTCGTACTCCAGGCCCCAGGTCATCCTTTTCTTGAAAAGTCATCCTTTACTTCTCGCCGGGTTGGTCCTGCCCAGCTGGCCAAGGGGAGCGACACCGACCAACCCAGGGCGATCGGCAGCGGGAACCGCGGCTGGATCTGCTCACACGGATCCCTCCGTCACGCGCCTTCTCGGCATATCATTCAAGGCAGTGGTGGTTGCAGCATCCGAGGAAACGAGGTGTGGAAACAAGACCTGCGCACACGTGCAGACGTGCTGAAGCACATGTGTAGCATGGCTAGGACACGCACTTTTTGACCTTGCCGTTACGATGGCTCAAGCTTGCGAAAACAAACCAGGATCACTGAGACGCCCCCCGAACTTTGAAGCCAAGTCAGGCCGCAAAAATACATGGCCTCGTAAACTGTCTTGAGCAAGGCGTGTATGGCCGTATCGGTTGTGCGGCTTAGCGCCCATATGTGATCGCCAGCATTCTCGGGAAATCGATCTCACGCCTGAGCTTCACGAGTGCTTTCGACTCATTGACGCCATTTTGGCGCTCAGGCCCGGGCGCCAGTTCTGAGTCTTGGGTGCTGTCTCCTGCAGCTCTTCGTCTCGTTGCCACGAGTGACGTGGCGGAGGACGAGCCTAAAGCGGGAACTGGGGCTCCGCCTTGTTTGGGCTTTTGTGGCGGCCATGCCCGGGCAGTTATGCGATCTTACTTTGGGGGCCAGCCGATAAGAAAATCTGCCAACTGGAACTCAGTATGGTGGTTCTATATGCTGTGGATGCCTTCATGGCGCTCATCCCGAGGTCTTTCTGACAATCCGGATGTGGCGAGGCTCCCTCAGCTCATCCAGGTCCGCTTGTGTTTCAGACATGGACATACTGGGAGTGGGTTCCCTCCAAGTCCACTTGGAACGATGCTATCGGTCGGCTGGCTGGGAGGAACGGGAGCCGATAATCTTTCGCACTGAAAACACGAATTTTCCAGCTTCTCGCCTCACTTGCGGTTTGCGGCCTGGGCGTTGCCGCTAGAGGCAGCAGTGTTGGACTTCGACTACGTTTAGTGACTTGCATTGGGAATGATTGCTTTGGGAATTTCTGTGCTCCAGTCATCTGTGTGATCAATTCGGTACGCTGGATCGGGCAGCGATCCGGAGATCCAATGCGAATACTCAAGCTTCACTAAACCTATATGCTGTGCAAGGTGTACCGGCCGTTTGTTTTGTCAGCAGTCAAAGGGGGAATAAAAAAAGGCGTTACCTCTTGCGTTTAAAAGGGGTTAATCGGAGACCGGCCTGGCATGCATCCAAACATCAACCGTTTTCAAGCATTTCTGGGCCGGGCTGTGCATGCATGCAAACATCAACCGTTTCAGCGTCCACACTGGGGTTAAGCATTTCGGGGCCGGGCCTGGCATACATCCAAGCATCAAGCGTTTCAGCGTCCACACGTTTAGCATTTCGGGGACCGACCGGCTTGGCATGTATCCAAACATCAACCGTGAGCCATTCTTGAGGAAGGTATATCGGAGCCCCCAAAACCCCTTGAGGAAGTTGTATAGGAGGTCCCGAATACACTTTAGCAGGATGTGCTGTAAGACATCATGCAAAATCATACCATGCGGGTTTGGGCCTTCAAAACAGGCTTGGGGGTATCGTCCTCTTATACAAACAGTAGAGCTGGAGAGGCATCGTCCCGGACCCCCAAAATAACGAAACTTCAAGCCTCGCCCAGCGGGACTGCAGGATCTGAGCCATTAATGCGCTTTGTCAAGGTGTATCGGACACCCCAGAACCCGTTTAGGAAACTGTATCTGAGCCCTTAGAGCCCTTTAGGTGTATCGGACGCCAGCCTTTTAGGAAGTTGTATCTGAGCCCCCAAACCCTGTAACAAGACGTATCGGAGCGGTCAAAAACCGTTTAAGCAGATGTATCGGTATCACTCTTCAAAGGCGTGCGTTCACTCGGGCAAAGGGACACAGTACGTGACCTTTGTAACACGTTCTGTGTCGGTGTCTACTTGCGGAACTGACGAACAGACTGTCTGGAATATTTGTGTTTTGTATCCACTTCGACAAGGGCATCTACACTGGAGTGTGAAAGGCGATGCGTTTCGTAAATTTCCAGCGTTTATAAATGTTGGCTAAGGGGGGCGTCTAGTTGGGGATTCATGGTCGGTTCAAAACACGGAGAAAGATAAAGTCATGCCTCAGGCTTCCTTTTTCCCTGCAAAAACGAGCGGGGAAAAGCTCATTATCCAATGCAGGTTGATCCAGATCAGCCATTTTGGTTCGTGAAAGATGGAAAAAGCGCTCGGGGAAGCACAAATCATTAGTCGGTGTAATTGTGCGTAAAAGTTTTCGCTGTTTCTTGCTGCCCCACATGTACTTCAAGATCAAAACTCGGTACGTCGGTTTGGCTGTGCCTCGTGCGAAGGAGACGTGGGGATCAAGACTTGGTAGGTGAATCCTTTGCTTTTTGGTTTGGCCGTGCATCCTGCGAGGGAGACACTTTAAGACTTTAAGATGAATGCACTGTTTCCTGCTTGTTGTGCAGAAACGTTTAAAACATCATATAGGGTGAAATGGGACCTTCGTGGGCGGCCAAAGGCCTCAAATCACACTTGGAGGTATCGGTCGGGGTATCGGTTTCAATTAGAAGAGGGTATTGGTCAAGCTGCATGCAATTTCCCGAAAAAAAGACAGCTTATGTCCTTTTTCAATAGCTGGCATTCCTTGACTGGTGTGGTGTTGGCTTCTAAAACGAATGCTCGGTACGCGGATTTCGGGGTGATTCGGGCAGCAACCGTGGGCTTCGAAAATCCAATCCAAGGTCGGTACGTGCATGTCGGTTGGTAAATGTGCTTCGAGATGACAAGGGAAACGCTCGAGTCGTCATGCCCTGTGCTGATGTAAACTCAATCTGCTCATTGCATTAGGCCCCTCGAGACACACGCACACACACCTGCCTGATTTTCGCAGTTTACCTGGATTGAGAGCTTTTCACGAAAACTGTGGAAGCCACATGCCACGTCCAGCATTCGAAGGGCATCGCATGGCAAGGCCGTATCTTGCATGTTCGCAAAGGTGAAAATGCAGTGCGATTCAGCAGTTGAAGCTGCAGAGCAGCACGTCGAAGAAATCATGTCGTGTTCAGGAACTGAGCCCTAGGAGCACTTGAGACGCTGTAGTTTAGAGATGTTTGGAGGGGCCCCGCAGCTGTTTCTTCCCACTGCTCAGAATGTCGTCATCTGAGAGTCACTGAGGTTACTATCCTCTACTCCTCTGACACTGGCCACGCTGAAGAGTGTGCTAAAGCTGTGGCGTTTCTCAGCAAAGACTTGATTTGACAAACCCAATCTTCCATGGTCCAGCAATCTGTGCACTTACCCATCGGTCTGAGGCGTCAGTGCCGCAATGGTGGCTTCGCCAGCAGCGCCGCCTGGCTAATCCGACAGCCGTCCGGTCTTCTATTGCTCAGTGACAGCTGGGCGTCTTTTGTTGGGATCGGGCATGAAGGCTAGGCTCAGAAACGAACCTGTTTTCTCAAGCATATTGTACGAGTACATTTGGCTGGGCCGCAATCATCAGGCAGTTCGATGTGGGACCATGGATTCCTTCGATGTGGGCGCACTAGCATCGGAGCCGCTGGTCGTTTTCTGCGTGGCCACGGCGGGCAAAGGCCACTTCGGGGGGGTCAGATGTTGTTCGCAGTTGCGACGTGCCAAGGAATCAGTTGTCCAGTTTGCGTTTGGTTTTCTTTCTTAAGTAGCTTGCGGTCTGCTGACGAAGGCTAATCAGGCTACAGAGGCGTCCAGGACTGTACAGAATTGTGCATCATCCTTAAAACTGGCTTGGTGCAGTTCGGGCTGGTAGCACACCTTGCAGCAGGTGAGTTCTGCGGCAATGGCCGCAACTTGTTCGCCAAGCTTCAGGAGCTCTGGTGAGCCTGTGTAGTCTTGGTGGCACTCAGTCCGTGGAGAAGTTAAATGCTGTCTGCTCCTGGACGAGGCCAGAAACTGGCCAGGTAGCGAGAAGGATCAGGTTGAGGGATTAGCCAGCAAGCAGTGGAATGAAGTGGCCAGCGCAGATCGGCCGAGTGCTCTTCGTGTCCAGCGATTTACTAGCTGCTAGGCAATGACTCAAGCTTGTGGATGCTTGCTGCGGGTTTGAACTCTGTGCGCAATGCCTATGGCGGCGCAGGAGCGGAGCGATCTGTCCCTCGGCGCGGTGGACTCAGTGGCCTTGCTCCGTTGCTCCGGAGCATAATTGCACGTGATCAACTTGCTGGCTTTTTCCCTCCTGCCGTCAAGTAGCTGTGTTCGCACAGGGTCAGTGCAAGCATTATCGCTGAGGAGCTGAAGTACTGCATTTTCGGCCTCGGTGACTCGCACTACTGGGGCAAGGGCACGGAGGCGAATCTAAGTTGTTGACACTATTTTCAATGTTCAGATCGGTATGTCTCCGTGCGAGAGGAGTCAAAGTTCAACTTTGCTAAACCGGCACGTGACTTGGACGATCTTCTCGAGAAGCTCGGCTTTGCTGGGTGCTGCTGGTAGGCCACGACCACGGCATGCCACGGGCCTGGTTCTTGTTAGGAAGATGGGGGCCCAGCGCATGATGCCCACGGGCTTCGGCGACGACCAGGACTGCTATTCTGCATCGGTGCTCCAGATGCTTTGGCAAGAGTTGTAATTTGCTGCTTAACGTGTGTTTCCAGAGGACACTGACCAGTATCACACTGGCTTCGCCGAGTGGAAGGGCCAGCTTTTCTCCCGTCTTGGTGTTGACAAGGCTGGACGGCAAGCCATGTTGCGAGCCCCGCCAAATGTGCTGCGGTTCAGAGGCCGACGCCGCCGGTGGTGGTGACGATGGCCCAGTGAAGACTGACGAGCAGATCAAGGAGCCAGCTGCTTTTCAGTTAAACGAATGGCACTGCATACAACTTTCTCCGGCGCTGCTAGGTAGAGACCAAGCAGCTGCGTGGTAGCATGAAGGCAGGGAAACGGGAAGTCTGGGCTTTCTCACACGAGCATATCATATCTGTGTGTGCAACGCAACCTTCCCTCTAGATGTCAGATGATGTCAGTTTGGTGAAAGTCGAGTTCAAGCCTGTGAAGGAAAGCTTGGATGATGTCACCACCGGTCAGATCCCCTTCCAGGCCAACTTGATTTTGGTAATTGGCTTGTAGCTCCCACGTCCGCGCTGATGCTATATGCCTGCGACGGAAGCATTCACCCGATGCTTTGAGGACACCAAGCTGATCAAGTCGCATGGCAGCTACCAGCAGGAGACGCGGGTTTACGCATGCTGACACAGGCCATCTGAGCCGTCCGAAACAATTCTGCCCTTCCTACATGAAGATCTGATGTTCTAGCGTCCGACGTGGTGATCTACTGAGGACCAGAGGACCATCAATATTCTCATGTTTGCAGCCTCTTTGCGAGTGGACAGCAGAGGACGACCGTGACCTTCGCGAAGAGCGGCAGAAGATGGGCGTAGAGAATGTCACTAGGTCGAATCTGTCGCGCAGCCGATGCACTCAATACAGTTTCTTTTGTCATCGAGTGCGCAATTATAGCACGGTGTCAAGGTGCTAGCCGACAGTATTAGACAGAACGGTGCAGTTGTTGGCACGCGTTGGCACACCGGCACACCAGGCTTTTTCCTTCATGATCCGTGCCTCAGCTGCACGAAGGCATGTGAATTCATGTGAATGATATACTGGGGAAGTAGAGGTTTTTGGTTCACACACTCCTATATCAACGCCAAGGTGTGCGCCTTCCTGGTGGCTTCTGCACAGCGGAGCAGTGGATCGCCATGGATGTGCGAACCTTAGACCACACGCACACACAAGCGCTTTAAGCGAGTGGGAGCGGGAGCGGGAGCGGGAGCAACCAAGGAGCCATGGTAGGCAAACTCAGAAGCAGATGTTTGTTCGGGTGACCCCAATCAGAAAGAACTCAGATGTGTGAGCCTGTCCTCAGGATAGCGGAGAGAACCGTATGCAGTTTATGGTTAAGCAGCAGTCGTTTCGAGAAGTGCAAAGATTGATGGAACCAGTGATGCTCGGGTAGGAGTAACCACACAAAGGTCACGACATGTGTGTTTCTTATGTTTCTTGCAGTCATGGCAAGGCGAACAAGAAGAGCCAGCCAGCCGAACAGCACACGATGCGGATCTGCGGATGAGTTCAACACTTGGAGCCTGCCATCCAGTAACAGAAACAACTGGCATGTGTCATCCATGAAGGCTTCCGTCCAGTCTGTTGCACAAGGAAGAGGAAACGGGGGGAGGGGGAAGAAAAGGAAGGAAGCAAAGGAAGGGAAGAATGGACACGACGGGCAGAGCAAGAAGGAGCAGAAGGAAAGGAAGGCGAAAACGGGAGCAGGAAGGAAAGGCAGGAAGAGCGGAATGCTAGGACGGTCCGGAAGGAACCGCGGAAAGGAAGCTATATTCCTTGATGCTCCTTGCAGCGATTACGAAACCTTCTACGAATACTGCAACTTGAGGGGGCCGCTAAAATCCCGTGACTGTCGAGAGGATCGAATGGCAAGAGGATCGGCGACGGCAATGACAAGAAGGACAGGAAACACAGAAAGGCAGGAAGAGAAGAGACAAAAACAGGACATTCATTAAGAAACACGCGTACAATGATAAAGTCGGAATTCTTGGCCCCAGCATGGCCACATGTTTGAGCTTTTCTCATCTCTGTTTTCTTTCCGATAGTCGCTGAGGACATTTGCCAGAACTTTGCGAATGGTACTTTGAAGATCACTACGCGACAGACTTGGCAGGTGCTGGAGTGTGTATATATATATATACACACACACACCCTTCTGAAGAGTGCAGTGGCAGCCGTTGCAAACTTTAGGGTTACAGCTGGCTAAAGGGTCATGTAGGGATGAGGTTGCATGTGTGAAGCCTCCCCGATCAGAGTGGATGCGAAGGGAGGCGAGCCTTATAAATTCCAAACGTTTCCTGCACCCGCGGGTCAAGGAAGTCACAACCTCAGTCGTGGAATCTCTCAGCCTCAATCCTAGCTCACTCTCCGCAGGTGCATGGAGTCTTGAAGCGCAATGCGACTTGGTCATTTCTTGGGGCATCACGGTTTCGATTCTCAGTAATCTGCAGTCCGTAGCCGCGTTTTCGCTGCTCATGGGTCTAAACACTCTAAATTGTTTGCGACTTAAACCAAACGGACTGCCCACTCAGCACTGTTTTGCTGGTCACGGGGCCTTGCTAGGTGAAGGCCACGATGCGCGCCATGAACAAGGCCTCCGGCTAAAATCATGCTGCTGGCACCCTTAGTAGCTGTATCAGAAATGCACTGCCGAATCACTTGGCCTTGCAAGGATAAACGTCGTAAGAACATACAATGTGAATAGTAAGATAAAAGTGCTTTGCACTGGGCAACACTCCGATATTTTTTTGTCTATGCTACGGAAGTGAGCCACCAAAGCGGCTGTGCAGGCCTGCATGGACACGTTGGCTGCTTGTGGCGATGTTTGCCGGAACGTGCTCTGCACCTCCCGACCGGATGTATGCACTTCGTCTGTACCTTTCATTGTGAGCTGTGATGGCGGTGACCTGCGGATCTTAAGCATCACATATCGCCCAGCTTTGGTCCCATGTCGGAAAGCCTCAGGCTCCAAGGAGCTCCATGCAGAGATCCTGCACTACACGTACGAGATTCACGACCACTGCCTGCCTCGACACTGGTCGAATTGAGAGGGATGCAGGGACTGCCTTCTGTTTGTTCAAACTGAAAGCAGGGCTCCAGAGAGCAGGGCAGAAGCAGTTAGCGGCTAGCGGCGCGTGCAAAGTCAATTTATGTCAATTTCCGTAGGACATCACGACTTGATATAAGGTGCGGACTACATAGGGCTATTTCAATTATTCATTCCTCTCCCGGTGAGTGGCCTTCAAGAGTCTGTTCTCGTCTCTCTGTCTCTCTGTCTGTCTCTTGTTTGTTTTTTTGCTTGTTTGTACTGTTTGCCTTTATGCTCGTTAAGCCCCTAGTTATGTATGTCATGTACTCGCATGTCATGAGTGCTGCGCCTGTCATGTTGCAGCCCGTATCTGGTGTATGCAATGCATGCAGCGTGTGTAGCGTGTGTAATGTATATGTACTTCGTGCAATGTAAGCGGTCGCTCGGTTGCGGGTATAATGCATGCAATGCAATGTAAGAAAGCATGTAAGGCGTGTGAAGTATATAAGTTGTGTAATGTGTGAAATGTATGTCATGTATGTCATGTATGTGGTGTAGCATACTTGTGTGCGAAGTGACAACCCAGTGCTTTCATCCATCACCGATCGACTCTGTGGATGCACATGACTCGACTGCTTCGAACTTGATGTATTCCGTTGCCATTTTGGTATAAGCTCCGATTTGAATATTTTTTCTTCAGGTTTCTCCGTCCTCGTTCTACTGCGAAGTCATGGCAGCACGGCGAAGCAACTCCTGGTTTGAGTTCTTCCGTGACGCTCGCCTTGAGGCTTTCCCTGGCACTGCCTCTGTCCCGCCGAGTATGCTGGCGCACTTCCCCCAGGAGGTGAGTTCTACCCAAGTCACACACTTGAAGAGCACCCGAGTGCACGTGTGTCCTCGCTTTCTCGAGTCCAAATATTGCAACAGCTGGACAAACTGCCTTTTTCTGCATCCCGATTTCCTGAATGACAAATGGGATGTCCGTGGCTTGATCTTCAATAAGTGGTTCCAAAGGGTTTGCAGTTACCCGACGAGTTGCTGGAATCAACACGGTCTTACCGCTTACCTGCGGTGAAGCGATGAGAGCTGCGGTTAGACTACAACGGGTACTTCGTGGCGACCGAGTCCCGTTCGCCTACGATATGGCCGATGGGGGCAAGATCCGGCAGATTTCCCGCGCAGAGCCCGCCGACTACATCTACAACGCGATGGCCGATATCCGCCTCCGAGTAATTCGGAATTGGCGTTTTGGCACCAGCTTCACGCCGTACTACGGTTCGAGGAATGTCTCCGAGGACGTGGTTCGAGTGCGTGCAGAAGAAGAAGAAAGATATGATGCAACCTGTAGTTTTCGAACCGCGACACTCATTTCGCAAATCAACCTCGAGGGCACCAACGAGACCCCCTCCCGCATCCTGGTCAGACACGAGGTGTCCGAACACGCCGAGGAGAAGTTCTTTTCCCGAGGTGACACCTCGACCAGACCCGACTTCGATTGTAAACAATCGTTATTTCAATGGCCCGGCGATGGAGACAGACTCCGATGCATCCTCTGCGCCGGGATTTGGAGCCCTCTGTGGTGCCGCTTCCGAGAACAACCCCGTTTAATCCGCCCAACCTCGATCTTCGCGGTCGCCCGTCCTCGAGTATCCCTGACTTCGGCGTGGGTTCGGCAACCTCATAATGCGAACCCCATAGCTCCGGTGCCGATGTCTTCCTCTGTTACAATCCCGATTCCAGCATCGATAAGCCCATACATTTCATCGCCGAGCACATCGATGACACGGCAGCTTCCAGCTCCTTTGCCTGCAGTTGGAGAGCTTCCGCCTGATGCGGCCCGAGACTACGATGTCTCGGAAGGGTCCGACAGCTCTCGATCAAATTCACCAAAAGAACCCTTCCTACCAGATGCCACAGTTCGGCTTTCAGACTGGCCGTCGCTTCGATGGGTACCCTGTGATCAATGCGGTCTTACAGCCAAAAACGAATGTTGCCCCCGGGCGTAAATACCGTGAGCCCAGCGGCCCGAAGTGCGAACGATGTTTTAGACTCCGAGAGGCACAAGAAGTCTCGGAGAACCAACCCGATGAAGACGAGTAAATTCGTCGACTGACTGCCGCCTAGGCGATGTGTCGGTCCCAAGGTTGTTCGCGAAGTTCCGCCAACGCTCGATAATCCGACATTATGCACCTGAACGATACCGTATGAGACTGTCGAACACATGGCAGACACGGTTGGCATCAGGTCGCATGCAACGATCGCCGCCTTCATCAACGACGACTCCGTCGTATAGACTTCATCACCAAGCCAGGCAGGGGTCCGCGTGGGCGCGACGGAGTACAAGTTGGATGATGGCGCATGATGGCATCTAGGAACCTGCGCTGAAGGCGCAGTGGCTGGTCCTGAGCTGGTCTGCGAGAGACGCCTACCTCTTTCAACCCCGCGCCGACAGCGGCCGGGGCGTCACCGGTTGCTACTACCAGTACGACGACAACCGGCAAAGACACGGCTTTTAAGTCATTGCCCAACGGAGCTTATGACACTCGTCAAGAATTACAATTAGGTGACGCTGAGTGGAGCAGGCAGGGGAGCGGAGAAGGTTCTTGCTCGAATGTACCACGAATGCCACACCTCGAGGTGTACACCGCCGCACCTCTAGGCGAAATTAGGGCGCGACGAGTCTGGACGAGTTTCAACACTATCAACTCCAACCGAAAGAAAGACCCATTCGAGAAGAAGCTTGTCATCGACGAGAAGAAACAGATAGCAGAGGAGGCGCAAGACGATTGGGGCGTGTGTGGACAGTGGATGCTCATCGCTGCCGCACAGGCGATTCGCTGGGCTCGGATTCTGCGGAGGTATGACTCCGAGACAGCGATCAACAAATGCATCGACTCTGGGAAGACTTCGCGTAGGAGAACATCGCAATGCGGATGGTAACACAAGAGACGTTGTCAGACATCGCCGAAGACATCATGGTCGGCATCACGAAAGTCAACCAGACGAGACACTTCAGCAACCGCTCTCGAAAAGACAGCGGCTCTCTAAGGGCTCCGCAGACATTCGCGGGTAAAGGTAAGGGAGGGAAAGGACGCAGGTACCGTTTGACGAGCACTTCCACGGCGGCGTCTTCGTGACGTCCGACGCCCGCCGATTTGGCAATCGTACCCACCTACCTGGTCCCCGACGCAGACAACCTTCGCGACCCCTACAGCTCCTGCCGACAAGGGCAACAAGGGCAAGTGCGACAAAGGTCGAACGAATCTTGACAACGACCGTGTAACCGCTTTGTGCAGGAGCCTGGTGGGACACCTACCTGTTGTTCACTGCACGTTCTTCGATGACATCGGCGTCGCCAGCGAGGCTCTTCAGCAGATCAACGAGAACATATTCCTCGCACTCTCGTGGGAGATCGACGAACATTGCTCTAACTTTGTCAACAAGAAACTTTCGGCAGTACAGATCTGAGATGTGATCAGTTTTGACGTTGAGACGGTCGTTCAGACGACTTTGCCGAACCAACAGTTTGTCATGGTCATTACCGCGGCGCCACGGTGCCCCGACTTCTCCGTTTCCGCCAGGACCGCCGGAGAATCTGGTTGGCTTCCAAGACATGTTGGGAATCGAACACTTCATTCGACAGAGGTTTCGTTACTCTCCCATCGAGACAATGTGGTTCCGCACCAGGGGATGACCGCGAGATCGGCTATGAACCCGGTCATTGTCGACGCAGCTGACGGCGCAGTCGTATGGCGGTGCCACCAGACGAGACATCGCTCCGGGCAACGGGGGTGTTGTTCCTTTTACTATTCGGAACGGTCGAAGCCAGCGTACTCCTCGTGAGACCGCGCTGGACAAGGTGACGAGCCATGGAGCGCCGCCAGAGTGCCGCGCCGAAAGCAAGCCGCCACGACTACATGCCGCAGTTTTCGTTGGCGGAACACCTCGATTGGGCGTTACGTCGCAACACCAACAGGACGTTTTCGGTTCCATCCACTACCGCTACTCCACAATGGTCCGGCCAGGGGCCCGCCACACACGGGCGCTCATCTCCGAGATCAAGCAGCTCGTCGTGCAGATGGAAGAATATACACACCAGACTCTACCGCCGCATGTACAGCGTGCTTACCAGCGGAAGGACTCGGTATCTACTACGATTACTCCGATCTCGGACCGAGGTTTTGTACCGCGAACTCTCCGAAGGCTTTCCACTGATGGGAAACCTTACCCCAGGAGTCAATTGGCGTGTTCATGTTCGACAAGACCAGAAGTGCTTCGAGCCAGCGCCCGTCGAAGAGTTCCGGGCCAAAAACAGCGAGTACATTGCGCTCGGTGGCTCCGAGACTCCGAGTAAAAGGTGAACACGAAAACTTTCTTCCTTTACTGTGCGACGACCCCTTCGTCGCGATGGCTTTCAGCATCGAGCAGACCGGCAGCAATGGCAAAACAAAGCTTTTCATCATAAGCCGGACCACTTCGTCTCCCTCGGATCGGCTTTCCTCGAAAACTTGAGGACACGACAACGATGGAGCTTGTTGACAATTTCCTCTACACGATTCACGACAAGCTTACGCCCTCCTTCTTACTCCGGAAGGACCCACCCATCAAGGGCGTGGGCAAACAACAACCGCTCAATTGCCTGGTTGCAGCGCTTTTTGACTTGGCACAACCGTAAAGGTGTAGCACACCGACTCGAACGAGCACCGACTAAGGCTAGTGTCTCCGATGCCCTTAATCGATTCAAGGACATCGATGCAGCCCATTGGATGAAGATCGATATGCCCCTGTCACATATTACGGATAGGGCTACGAAGATCATAGGAGACATCAGCTTTGCAGCCACGACTGGCTTGTCCGATCTACCGAGCATCGATAAGATACATCGAGCCCTTCGGGAGAGAGACCGGTAAGGTCTCGTGGCGTTCGCTTGCGATGGGAGGACGCCGCCACCACCGATGGGAAAAGGTCGGTCCTCCTGACATCGAAAGAACAGTTGTGTATGAAATGCGAATGAAACTTTCAATGAACCCGATTAGACTCCTAAGAGAGTCACAATCGCAGAATACGCCGCCGAAGCGAAAGCAGTTGAAAAAGTGAGCACATAGCAGGGACCTATGCTTACCCGGTGAAAGCACTCGTTGTCATGTGTGTAACGTGCTCAATGCGAGGAATGTATGGGATGTAAATGATGCATGTAGGGCATCTGGTGGCTCCAAGCGGGTACTAGAGCGAGTAAGTACGTAAGTGGGTATGTACGTGCGTACGTCTGCCCGCCTGCCTGTCCGCCTGCCTGCCTGCCTGCCTGCCTGCCTGCCTGCCTGCATGTCTGCCTGTCTGTATGTATGCGCGTATGTCTATGTATGTATGTATGTATGTATGTATGTATGTATGTATGTATGTGTGTATGTGTGCATGTATGCATGTATGCATCTATATACCTGTGTATTCGTGCCCCCACGCATCTGCATGTATGCATGGGTGGCTTAATAGACTCGGGGCGCTTTTACGTGTATGGATTAACTGCCAGTGCCGGGCCTGATTACTCATCGCTATTTCGTCAGGGCGAAATCGGTGCAAGGTTTTAGTCGATTCATTGCAATGGCAACAGCTGCGGAAAGTCTCGTTAAAATTGCAACCAGTTGCGATCATCAGACCTATCAAGATCTCCGGTGTCATGCTTACACAGCTTGGGACTACTCAGCTGGAAGGGCAAGACAGTGAAACCTTCGAATTAATGCGGTTCGCTCGCAAGTCCATGTAATTCCACATCTACGAATTTTGTTTGGCAATTTGCATTTGCATCGCATGGGTTGAATTGAATTTGTCCACTGGCGGCAAGATGACGAGACGACGAACTGTTTCGTGATGCTTCAAGTGTGACTTCGCTTTGACATGTTCTGGCCGCCTCATTGGTAGGGGGTCGTAGGGGGTCTTAAGAGGACTTCAGATAGAAGCCAGGGCCTTCAGCCCCGAAGCCACGTGCCTCACCCAGGATCCGGCGCCTACCACGAGATCTTCCTCATGCAAGGTCGGCAACAAGCTTGGGACGAACACCCTTGTACTTCTCTGACAAGTCTTGAGGCGCTGAGATGGCAGAGAAGATTCAGATCATGGGCTCAACGCCGGTCGAGGAGGAGACTCGGAGATCTTGGTTTTTTGCTGAGCTGGGCCTGTCGGTTCCCCCTTGCAGCCTGACAGGAGCCCCTCTATGGGCTCACCTACCTGCCGCGAAAATTCAAGGCTCCCATTGTGGTTTTGGGTGCAGCTATTCGGACATGCTGCGGCAAACACTCATATTCTTTGCGAACCAAGTCGTCAAGACCACCCGGCTAGATCAGGGTCCGTCCAGGTAGCTGTGGCAATTCCTCCAAGCAACGACGTGGATCTCTTCGCTCACTGTGCAGGCGGAAGTGCTGCGATAGTTAAAACTCGTGCTGGCAAAAGTCTTGCAGATCCTTGATCGAAGTAATTGGAACAGTATCACATGCTGAACTGCTGAAGACAGTTCAGTTCAGGATCCCGTCTCTCCAGGCCAATGTTGCTGAGTGCCAGAACGTAACTAGCTGGAGGCAGCAGTCTGTGATGCAAAGAAGCACATCGAACTTGAGAATGCTTTTGCCCGTACCAGATCCTGTGATGTTTACGTACCCGAGATTTGAGAACACTCATTCAAGGGGGATGTTCAATGTTTGAGAGTAAGCTCGTCCTCAAATTGACAAGCTGGTAGAGTCGTGTAAGACGGCATGAGTAAGAGCAATCCATTTGACTTTTCCGTTTTCAGGTTTCATTGCCATCATCCAGAACGGCAAGTTGCTAGGCACGGCTGGGTCACGCTTTTGATGAGAGACCGACCTGTCCTCCTGGCTGTGGGAGGCTTTAACGTGGCTGTTGGTGGTGGCCTTGGCTTCACCCATAACAACCAGCCGCTTGGAGAGGATGGGCGTTGCAGTTCGCTGGCGTTTGTTGTGTTTTGTTTGGGCACCAAGGAAGACTCATCCTCGACTGGCAGACGTGATCGGCCTCTTGGCAAGCACGTGAGCTCCATTGCATGGGGAGCTCCGTACACTTGCTTCCCCTTTGCCCTGAGGCTTCTGCAAACCCGGCGACGCGTGCCTCGATAGCACGAGGGCAAAGCACACAAGGGGTTCTGCATGCCAGCAATCTGCAACCGACTTCCCTGTACAACTGGTTCCTATAGCAGCTGCCGCAGTTCAACAAGTGAAGAAGGCAAGTCAAAAGCTGTAATCAGACAATTACGTACTGGTAGGTCGCTGCAAGTGCCCTGCAAGGAAGTATGTGTGCGAGTGCATCCTCACCGTTGCTCGTGATTTCGGTGATCGCCCCTCTGCAAAGATTCAACAGTCCTGGTTTCGTCTTGGAACGCGTTAGATGTGGGGAGGCTCCGCTCCACAGGAGTGGGGACGCTTTGCCTGGCAAACGGTGCTTCCAAGGTACAGGGCGAAAGCATGCACGGGTGAAGTACACCGTGGAAGACTATGGCCCAGAGTGGTTCAAGGAGCGAGAATCCAGTGCTTGGGATTTAAGCTGCAGGCTGCGTCAGCCACGGCTGGTAAAGATCCTCCGACAGCCCCTTTGAGGAGCAGGTGGAGGATCGTCTGGGATTCAAGCTCGAGCCTGCCAACTGCCTCGCAATAGCACTCCTTCATGGGTTAGGATCGGAAGCGTGTCTGCCACTTCGAGGCCAAGCCTTACAAGTTGGAGCACCGTGGTGACCTGCACGGCCTCGTCCCGAGACAGGGGTCTGCACATTCTGAACAGGGAATTTAGGGTTTGGCAGATAGGTGTCAGGACTAGGCCCTAGGGTTACTCGAACTCGAACGCTGGAACGTTTGTTTGAATGTATCAGATATCGAGCGAGATTGGGAAGTTTGCAAGTTTGAAAGGTGTGGTGAATAAAAGTTTGAGATTCGAAAGTTTCGAGTTTCAATACAGGCGCAAGTTTGAAGTTTGAGGGGGAATCCAGTTCGAGTCTTTGAAGCCGCAGTGACGTGCGCTGTGGACGGACGTGAGGTAATGATGCAGGTGGGTCCATGGGGCACCTCCCAGTCTCGAGTTAAATGTGTGAGAGGCTGGAGTTTAAAAAGTTGAAGCCCGAGATTTACCATGTGAGAGTTCGAAAGTTCGACAGTCTGACGGTTCGAACGGTTCCAAGGTTGACTGCTTGCAAATCTGAATTCGTCAAACTTCGAAAGTTCCAGAGTTTGAAGGGCACGGAGTTTGAGAGCCCGAACGCTGCAAAGTTTCAGAGTTCGAGAGTTCGGAGCACTAAATGGTTGAAAGTTCAAAGCTTTGAAAGATTTGTTGTTTTCCTTGTAGTTTCAAAGCTGTCTATGTCTTGTATCTGCATTCGGGTTTACAGTTAGGGGAGCCAGAATAACCTAAACCCAAAGCCCTAAGCAACATCTTATTTAAAGAACGGTGAAATATACCTTAATTGTAACAGCGGGGCAAGTTTGAGAACTGATGCAGCTGCCGTCGCCGAATGAGGGGGCGTGTTGAAGATTTTAGATCAACGCCATCGCCTGATACGCGGGCAGGTTTCAGATAGGGAGATTTTCAAATCAACGGCCATCGCCTACTGAGGAGAAGGTTCGAGATATGAGACCAAGTCCCGTCGCTTAATAGGGGGTGCGAGTTGGCTCAGCTGTGGCCTATCTGTCAAACCTTCGAACTTTCAAGTTTCGAACTCTCAAACTTTTAAACTCGGAAGTCTCGAAATCGACGTCTTTAAGCCTTCAAACTTGTCAAACATCCAGACCCTCGAACTCTCCTCAATCTTTCAAGCTTTCGAGCCCCAACCTCTCAAGCCTGGAAGCTTTCGAACTGTCAAACTCTCGACCTCAGCGGAGAGCCGTGAACCGAATTTGGAGCCACCTTTCAAACTTGAAGCAAATGAACTTTCAAGCCCTGGAACTGTCGAATTTTCAAAGTTTGAAATCTTTCGAGCTTTCAATTGTAACTTTCGAAGCTCCCACGCTTGCGATGATTCGAGCATTGAAGCGTGAAACAAACTCTCACAGCTGATCGAACTCAGCCGCGGCTAAAGTTTGGAGCCTGAGTTCTAGTTCGAAAGTTTGACGCTTTGGGCGATGAATGTTCTTTTCCTTCGAAAAGATCGAATTTGATGCCCCCTCGCTTGCGCATTCCAAGGTCAATCCTTCAAAGTCTTCAGCTTCCTAACCTTTGTTCTTTCAACCTCTCGAACCTTCGAGTTCGATCCTCCTCGCGCGGGACACCGCAGAAACAACAAAGAAACTTCAAAATCAAAATTGCGTTGGATGGTCGCTTGACTTGACATGCTGCTTCGCATGGGACTGGACAGCAGAGTATCGAAAGATATTTGATCTTCGACCCACAAGACTCAGCGAATCCTAGATAGATGCCAGCCATCTTGTGATTTAGGTGCTGCTGGTAGTATTGTAATCGCAGGCTTGGCAGGAACACGAGAGATGTCTTTGTGTGAGATGGGGTTGCGCTCGAGGCTGGGTGAAGGCCAGCGATGGCACCTGGAGCTGCGGCCTTCTTGTCCCCATTGGCCGAGTCAAGGAACAGCTTGAAGAGTCCAGTGGAACCATTTCTCATCACACAGTTACCATCCATTTCGGGAATTCTTGCAGTGGTGAGAGATCAGCATCTGTGAGTGTTCAAGCCTCTCAAGCCCGGCAGAGGGCCAGCGGTCCCGTTTCGGTCCGATGTGTCTACAAACGTCGCTGGCCTGCGCCTGTCAGGAGAGCACCCGCGTTTGCATCCGCAAGATCGCCGAAGAGCTGAAGGGCAAGGAGAAGGCACAAGCTCGCAGCTAAAGGCACTCATGTCATGCTTGGCTCACATACTGTTGTGCTGCTTCGGGAAATTGTCGGCCCTGGTGATGCTGGGCAGACATTGGCAGGCTTTCTAGAGGGAGTGCTCAGGATCTGGAACGATATTGGCCACCCCGAATTCGCCAACCTCCCTTGTCCGGAAGAGTCATTTGTGCCGGTTAGCAAGACAGATGGCACACAGACATGAAAAGCCTCGCTTGTGGAGGGTGGTTTCCGCATGACGTGCAACCAGTCCCTGGTTCTCGAGAACATCTCTGAGGCCATTGCGCTGCCGAGGGATCAAGAAGCAAACGCAGCATCTTCATGTCGAGGCCAAGAGACCGATCATCCAGAAGCTTCTGGATGAGTACCAAGTGATGCACAGCAAGGTCGGGTGTACGACAGGTGAATCATGAGATGATGACACTAGCAAGTGCACACTGATACCGGCGGAACGTGAAGGAGACCACAGTGAGTGGTCTTCGCCGCAACATGGTTGCGTGCTCCAAGCTCAGTCAAGCTCAGTCACAAGTCGCCTCGCAGCCTCCTGGATTTGTCTTCAAAGTTGTGCAACATCAAGACCCAAAATCGCAGACAGGCTTCGTTGCGTCGGCGTGAAACATGGTGAACTAAACAGGCATGAGCCGGCATGACTTCCCTTCCCAAGCTAAACAGCAACGCTGCATCCTCTTTGCCTCTCCAATCGGATATTCTTGTTATCTATGCCATGCACTTCAGGCGTCGCTCTGCCAACCTGTCCACTGGCTTTCGCCGAGGCCTCGTTCCCGAAACTTTGGCGCCTTTGCAACTAGTTCGCTTCCCCCAAAACCCGAAATTCGTTGCCATCGAAAAATCGAGGGAGAAAACAAGGTAGAGAGAGAGGTCATAAAAGACCCCAAAGCCGACCACTCATTACCACAGCGTGGTCGGGCGGGCCGAAGGTCCCTAGCGGACCCCTAAGCCCGGCAGAAAGAAAGAAAGAGAGAGAGCGCAGGCAGTGCACTAGCAAGCTCTTGTTTCCGCACTTGTTTTGACCCTAAGAAGCACGGTGCCTGTACAGTGCCTAGAAGCAGACACACAGATACAAAGCAGTTGCCGTCAAAATGGGGGGACCTATTGATGAGGCACGAGGCGCGGGGGTGATACGTAGTGTTCTAAGTTCAGGGGGGTCCTCAGAGTGCCCCAACCGTGACTCATCATATCTCAAATCTCACACAGAGACGTAAGACCAGGGCGCATGCGTGCGGGGTTCCGCCTGCCCTTTGGGTGAGTTGAAGAAGAAGAGAGACAGAGAGCAAGTGCCTGGTTTCATGAAGACCGGACTTGGACTTGAGGCGTAGCGCATGCGTGCAGGGTCATGCCTTCGTGCCCTGAACCCAAGACGGTTTGCAAGCAAGCAAGAGCAAGTGCCTGTTGGCATCCGAGCGACCAGTGTCACACCGACTAGTGACTAGACAAAGACCAGTCGACTATGTGTGCACGGGAGGGGAGGCTGTTTATGGTCTTTGATCGGCCTGTCGCCTTCTTCGAGTTTCATGCTGATCGTGTCGCCACAAGCCGCCTGAACAGCATGCCGGAGGGCGTGCGCATTTGTTTCCTTCCGGCCGACAAGAAAAGAGCAGCGAGCGAGTAGTATAAGGATGAGAACTAAGCACAAGCATTATGGTCAAGTCATGTTACATACAGCTCTCACTCAACAACAATGTGCAGCCGTCTTGGAAGCTGCAATAACTGTGCTGAAGCGATGGGGCGGCTATGCGCACCGCCCCAGGATCTGCAAGCTTTGTTGAAGATGGCGAGGGCTCTGACAAAGGAAAATGGGCAACAAGCAGGCACGGGCCAGAGCCCACTCCTGTCCATGGAAACAACTTGCAACAGTGCATGTCGTAAGTAGGTCATGAGTCCAGACATCGACGAATTCGGCTGGGTGCTGGATGATGCTTCGCTTCGAGCTCCAGGTATGTCTCCTTCACAGTGTTAGTTCACGCACCGCGGCCAACAGCATTTGATGACAGCAAATATAGGGACGCGGCAAGATTGCATGTGTGGTGAAACATCGATAAATAAAGAGCCAGCAGCGACTGAACAAATCGAACTCCGCGCAACCTGGACAGCTGTACCGACTCGGCGAGTAGCTGCAAGAAGCGGCTACGACCACAGTTGGCAAACGTCTGTTGTACTGTTGTACTGCGACAAGACGGAAAACGTTGCACGGCAACATATAAGGTTAACGCACATCGCAGCTCCGGGGCATCGAACCGGCAAAGATGTCGAAATCGCGAACTGGCGAATGCCTGCAGTCTGGTGGACGTTTATATCTTTGGGGTCACAAGAAAATCCTTGCGAATACCTTCAGACTGCAGGTTAGTAGAGTCATGTATTTTGCAAGTGCGAATCGCGTCAGTCAGCGCTGGTTGTCGCGAAAGACCCGGTTGGAATCGATTGGGGATCCGGAGATCAGGCACGTGCTGGGATGAGGAGAGAACAGCCGCGTTGAGAGGAACGCGGAGAGAGTCGGAACAGACCTGCAAACACCCCGCCCTCTGCCGGCAAGACGGAGGCTCACTCTCTGTAGACACATGCTCTAAACCCGCGAAGGCCTGAACTATCCTAAACCACTTGCCAATGCTCTGTTCCATCATCGCATCTTTTACACATCTTTGAACGAACCAGACTTCGCAGATTCGGGACTCCAAGAACACTTTGGCTCCTCAGCTCGGTCAATAGCACCCGTAAGGCTTGGAACAAAGACCGCGAAGCTATATGCTTAACAGGAGTCACGCGTAATGCCAACATTTCATGGCAATGGTGATTGCATCAAACGGGCATGTTCCTGTCATGAAGTATTGCTGTGTGCTAACTAGGTTTGTTTATGCATTCCAATTTATTTGTATGTGGTTAACACAAGCAAAAATCTTATTGTTACTCTCAAAACTGATGGAGTAGGACCACTATGACAAGGCAAGACATCAGTTGTGACTCTTCATAATTTCTGTTAAGCATGATTAGAGACATAACGCTACGCCGCCCGCCTCGGCTCGACAGTGGCGAGGGCGCCTCGATCGGGCGGAGCTTTGGGCGCCAGGAAGGGAAGCGGAGGAATGAATGGATGAAGACGGGAAGGAACGGGTGCCACTGCACTGCGTGCTTGCGCGTGTGTGCGTGTGTGTGTGTGTGTTTATAGCTGTTTGGGGTAGTAAAGAAAGACTTCACGAGCAAGCCATGTGAAGGGGGAGGGGTGCAGGGGGGGGAGGCTGGCGGTGAAGGGGGGAGGAAAACGAGGGAATAACTGCCTGAAGTGGACCAAAATGGGGGGGAAGGAAGGGAAAGGGCAGGTGAAATTTGTGAGAGGAGGGGCCAGCCGGGGTGGGGGGTCGAAACTGTGGCCAAAAAGCGCATGTCACCAAACTTTTCGGCTGCGCGGAGGAGGACTAGGTAGAGGGTATTTAGTTGAACCCCCAAGATGCCGGGCCTGTGGCCTCGGCGGACTACCAGTATGGCTGTTACCGATACTGTGGTCCTTACTGATGCTGTTGTTGTGGTTGGCATTTCGCGAGCCGAGCTTTTCCACAGGGCCTTGCGAGTGGGTGTTGGATTGGAGTTTGTAATGGTCAAAGAATGTCAAAGACATGCTCAGTTTGAGTCGAATCAAGCTCCTACTCTGCTTCGCCCCGACTTTCGGGCTCCCAGCAGGCGAGCTCAGACCTGAAAGGAAGACAGCTCCTCCTGAATGAACGTCGGCCGTTCCTGAATTCCTGAAACGACCCCTGCTTGTGCCCGACGGGGGGTTCCTCTGTTGCGACACGGCCCGCGCACATTCCTCAAACAGTCCAGGGCGTTCCTGATGCAAGTTTGCAAGTCAACTGTCACTCTGAAGCTGCTGGCAACTTGAGGGGACAGGGCCCTAAAGGGTTTCTTTGTCGCCTCTCCCGTGCCAGGCAGAACGGTACCTGCCAACCTTGGTGGAGCGCTTGGAGGCTGTGGCCGACAAGGTTGGCCTTGGCCAGGCAGGGACCATCGTCAGCGAGCGGCGAACGGGGAGTGGCGCAGAGTCGTGTGAGAGGAAGACATCGTCATCCGAATGACCGGCTGCCCAAACTCCTGTGGCAGGCCAAACAAATTTTGCATCCGGTAAGGGGAGCCCAATGTGTCTCCTGGTCCAGGCCTTCGATGGCAGAGATTGGCTTCATTGGAAAGGCCTCATGCAATGGAAGCGTTACGTCTTTACTGTGTCCTTCCCCTACGGCCAACCAGTCAGCAACAAATTCGTTCCATCCTGCATTCTACTCATGCACCTCGCTTTGCCTGCTTCGAGGCACCTGGCACCTACAACATGTACCTAGGCCAGGCTGCGATGCCACATCACTTGCTGAACCTGCAGGGAAGGCGTGCGTTCCTCGCGCATCTGGTTACGTTTGCGGCTTTCCATTAGCTGAGCTTTGCCAGATGTGCTTTCACAGGGCTTTGCAGCCTCAAAGCTCAAACAGGACTGCCAGACGTGATTTGGAAATTCGCGAGGTGCTGATTTCGTGGGCCAGCGCTTGAACACACTCTTTGCGGAGTCCGTCAATGAGGCCACAAATTGTCATGTGAACGACAGGCTCTCAACTGTCAGACTGTGAGAATGAGACGTTGTGGCAATGCCAGGGCAGTTTCAACTTGAGTAGTTCTTCGTTGTCTCATGCACTTGCAGAAGCCGGGCGACTATGAATTCAGGACCAGATTATCCAGATCTTGACACCAATTTTCGGCCGCTTCGCGCAGGCAAGCCACGGGTTCCAGAGCTTTGCTGGGGCTTCCTTCCATGCTCTTTTTGCAGTACCACCTCTGCGTTTGATTTAGCAGTTTTTGCACATTGTCGGATAGCTTCTGAGAATCTCCCACTTGCATATCAGTGGTCGTGTCGTGAGTAGTGCAGAAGCATAGAATTGGAACTGGCAGCGTCCCTCAATTCCGTGCTGAACCTGGCTTGAGCACGGTCTCCTGATTCCACATCTACTATTGTCGAGAACCGCTTGAAAGCTTACTGCAGATTGGCTCGCATGAGACCACCGGCCTCATTGCGTGCTGCACTTTTCGTGAGTGAAGGGTGCGGAACCGTATGTTGAGGAGCGGGAGAAATGCGAAAAGTTCGGAGACTTCCTGATCCGCAAGCAGATCGTCAAGCCGCCTCTCAGATGCCTGAGAAATGTAAGTCGCTTCCTGCAACCATCGATAAGAAGCCCGAAAGGGCACAGCTCAGAAGCATCACAGGTGCATGTGGGTGCGAGTTTCGGACAGCTGAATGAGTACTCAATCTGAGATGCATTCGGTCCCCAGGATGAACAACGGCCGTGACTGGTGGACGACCCCGGAGGTCTGAAGGAAATGACATGGAGGTGAAGCTCTACAGCATGCATTGTGAAGTTCCTCTGATTGTCCAGAGACGCAGGCATGCTGAGCTGCAAACTGTACAGCAAGGATCCCAACACAATTTTGACGTCTTGTCTGTCCGTCAGAGGTGGAGAGTATGACACTCTCCCTAATCCTGCTTTCATCGTGTCGGCATCTTGCAAATGCTTTGCCAACTCGGAGGTTAGACGAGATCTTAGTACAAATGCAGCCTAAGACTATCTCGTCTTGCTTCCAGGCTGTCTTTAGCCTATTCCTCAGCACAGGCATGGTGGCTGTGTAGTTCTCCAGTACATGCAGAACTTCCGCATGCCCTCACACTCCGCATAGGACAGGGGCCAGAAACCGTGTGCCTCAAGCACTAGCCCTAGGGCCCGAGAGAGCCTAGAGCCAACTTTCACTTCCCGTTTTGGTGAGTGCAGCTGCAGCCAGTGCACAGTAAGTGCTTAAGAAGCGGACTTAAGCTGAGCGAAACAGGCGACAGTCCGGCCGCGGTGCCTTGGATACCTAAGCAGCAGGGCAACGAGTTTCTGAGGTACTGTATTCAGGGGCTGATCCTGCAAGTTCGCTCGGCATAGTGTGATGGTGGCGAGGTGTCGTTCGAGCGACGGGGCCAACATCGATTTTCCCATGCAGACCTCATGCGGTGATGCACCACGAAGGGGGCCGAGGCAAAAGCAACCTTCCTCGCAGGATCTCGCAGGCACGTCTCCCTTTACACTAAACTTGGAGGTCGGCAGTCAAGCTTTCACAAGCTTTCCGGCTGCACTGCATCATGCCTCGCAGCTTTAGCGCTCGAGAACATTTTCAACATTTGACACGACATGCGGGGCGCCAAAATGTCTCATCTAGCGTGTTGTCACTGCAGACAACAGTCCAGTCTGACCTCACTGTGGCATGGGTTCTGTTCTTGGCAACAGCCGGACTTCCAGCATGGTGATTGCCTAGGTGCAAACCAATTGCATAAACAAGGCTGGAGTGGTGGCAATTCTGATATTGCTTGGTCCGTTCAGGGATCGGGTCGCCGCTCACCGTGCGGTTGGTGGCGCATGTCGACTTCCTGGAGACCGCCGTTCTGGCAGGCAATGCCCGTTGAACTGATTACAGCTCCATGACTGAGCATGCTTGTTCCTCCAAGCGCAGCATGCAAGCACAGCTGCAAATGCCAGTTCGCAAGATTGGACAGTAGCGCCCAGATGCAGGCGTGCTTGTTGTGACCTTGCGTCATGCTGGAATGGCCAACCGTGCCAACGACCCGAAGTCTGCCGAAGAGGCTGGAGGGCGCTTGTTACCGGTAGACGGATCTTCGGTGCCTGAACCCTGCGAAGTGCGACAGCTAGTCACCCTCTGCTCCAATGCGAGATTGCAAGTGATATTTGCAAATCGTGTGAGGAAGGTGCCAGGCGAGGTATCTCCGGCATACTGCCTGCAAGAGATGGACATCAGCCGAGGCGGTTCGAGCTTCTCGACTTGCCTTCACCGGAGAGCCCGAGCGCAAAGCCGTACATTGCCGCGTTGTCAGGCCTTGTCCCGCCCCATTTTCGGATTAGCAAATGTCGTACCGGGGCAGCAATTGTGAGCCTCCCACAACCCAAGAAAACAGGGTGCCCACTTTCTCACCAATCAAGTCTCGGGAGCAGCAAACTCAGCCGGAGATGGCGGCATCAAAAACATGCTTTTCTTTCTGAACGGAAGTTGCAATTCCTCAAACGTTCAGCTCTCGACGAATTCGTCAACAAGGCGTGTCAAAGGCTTTTAAAAGGCTGGAGACATTTTCTGGGCCTGAGATAGTTCCCTCGGCCTGGTATTGAGACATCGACCAGAGTGCACGCACACATAGGCAGATATGCAGATACATAGCTACATAGATGCATACTTGGTTTATGTTTTCGATGCATACATGCATGTATGCATGGATCGATGCGTGGAAGGATGGATGGTTGGATGGATGGACGGACGGAGGGATGGACGGATAGGTGTATGCATAATATATATATATATATGTCATTGTGTGTGTGTGTGTGGGGGTAACAGAGGGTAAGACGTCTGCCATCCAAGTTAGCCAGTGTTTCATCTATGTACAAGCACGGATGCGGCACTCTTGTTCAAGCTGCACTAACAAAGTTCTGGGATTCTTGGCTATGTACCTGCAGAAAGCAATGGTTCGCCATGGACGTTGGAACGTAGCTTGGGCACCCGATCTGTTCTCATCAGTTCGAAAATCACACAGGAAATTGAGGCAGTGCTCGAGCGCAGTTAATATGGCAAGCCTCTTGGTCCTTGCAGTATTTGGAATGTTATGTCGCAATCTGTTGTCGTCGGGTAAGCACCTTGCCGTGGGTGATTAAGTCAACCAACCTATTGAAGACCTCCCTGCATCTTGCTTCTATGAGTCTCAGATAGAGTTGTGAGTGGAATATCACAAACAGATTGAAGCTCTTGGTGTGTGTGTCTGTCTGTCTGTCTGTCTGCCTGTCTGTCTGTCTGTCTGTCTGTCTGTCTGTCTGTCTGCATGCATGCATGTACGTAGGTATAAATGTATGTACGTAGGTATTCCTGTATGTACGTATGTATGTATGTGTGTGTATGTATGTATGTATGTATGTATGTATGTATGTATGTATGTATGTATGCTTGTATTGTATTGTATTGTATTGTATTGTATTGTATTGTATTGTATTGTATTGTATTGTATTGGAATGTAATGTAACGTAACGTAACGTAACGTAGCGTAACGTAACGTAACGTAACGTAATGTAATGTAATGTAACGTAACGTAACGTAGCGTAACGTAACGTAACGTAACGTAATGTAATGTAATGTAAAGTAATGTAATGTAATGTAATGTAATGTAATGTAATGTAATGTAATGTATGTATGTATGTATGTATGTATGTATGTATGTATTCGTGTATATATGCATGTGCGTATGTATGTTGCAGGGATGAATGAATGGCTGGCTGGCTCGATGGATGCATGGATGTCTGCAGGTATGTACGTGTGGATGTCTGTATGTATGTATCTAATGTGCTACAATATTGTGTCGCATGTGCTTGTGGCTCATCACGGGCCGAAGGAGCTGTATGCGAACCGTCCGTGCATGGATGGGCGTTCGCAGGCGAACTGACCATGGGCCTCGAGTCGCCTGGCCCCCTGTCTCGGAGATGGACGCTTGGAGCGAGGAACTCTGGTCAGTATCTGGGCAGGCAATTGCAAGCGACGAGAGACCTGTAGTTTTCAGCCTGTGGCCGTCCCTTGGTGGGTTGAGTCAGCTTATGGTATCTCTATTGACGTGAGGGGAAACGCAGAGAAAAGCAGTGCACGAACGATTAGGATATTTTAGAAGCACGGCGCAACATGGTTCTTCAGATTCAGGTGCAGAAACCCAAAGCTGTAATTGTCGCACGCGTGCGTATTTGCAGGAGCTTCAGCTTCTCTTAAAATTGGGAGTTTCGCTAATGTTTTCTTGTGATTTTTCTCCGGCCGGATTCGAGGTGTTTAGCTCGGCTGCAGATTAGTAATCTGAAAGACACCATTTCAGCCGGCCGTAACACCGGGCAGTCGCCAGGTTTTCGCCCGCGAAATCCCTGGCGCGAGCAGTATTAGATCCAATTGCGAGTTCTCCTCAGAACAGTGGCTTGGCTCCCCACCGGGCTGGTCTGGCGTTCAGGTTGACGAGGCTTCAATGTGTTCGTTGGTGGTTCTGAGTCGTGTGACTTCATACCTTTGCCAGTACAGCCTTTCTTCACATGGAAGCCCGTCGGCCTTGGAAAAAGAATGAATGGTTTCGTGGAATGCATAGTGTAGAATATCATAGAACCGATGTGGAAAAGCCCTTCGTCTTTGAGGTTTCCAGAAGGCAGAGGAACTTTGTGATGCCCTTCCTTTGGAAGCGACCCTGGGCAGTCGACGCTCCTCCAGGCCTTCAGTGGCAGGGTCGCCTTCGTCTGTTCAGTCTCAGAACCAGCACGCAAGAGCACGGAAGATAGGAGTCTGGGGACGGCCTTAGACCGCAGATCCGTGGTAGGTGAATCAAAGCATTGCCGCAATGTGTTTCACAAAACCAACCCATCTGCTGTCAACAAGCGCGTTTCCCGGACAGGCAGTGGATTCTGCCACCATTGGATGCTAAGGTGGAATCTGAAACTTGGTTTGAGAGTAGGACTCGAACGACGATCGTCCAAGTTGTGGTGGCTAAATGTCAATATTTTGAGGTCCTTTCGATGGCGGTCCGTGGCTGTTTGCTCTCCGCTGCTGAACCAGGAAGTGGCCAGCGACTTCTATCCTTCTCGACGACTCAAAGGATGTCGAGGACAGGGAGAAGACTTCCAAATTCAAGCGCATCTTCTGAAACTGCGTCCAAAAAAGCTTGTGGATTGAGCTTAAGCCTCTGCACAGCAAACGGAAACAATGAAGACACAACGGCGTAGATGGTCAAGCAGCGATACTTTGGAGGCGCATCAGAGTATCTGGCTCGGCAGCCACTGGCCGGCAACAGTTTGTGCTCCTCGTTCCCTCGTTTGGCTTTCTCGCACTCTTTGCTGTCAGCTGCATTCTCGTACTGGTGCAAGCTCATCATTTTCATGGTAGCGTCACTTTAGAAGATGTTGTTGTGCTGAGGTCTTCGAGACGAAGTGCGACGGAAGTGTATGAGCTGAACTTCGTCAAGGACCGCAGGCTCTCAGGCTCGTTCAGGCTCGTTCAGGATCGTTCAGGCTCGGGCACGTCTCGCTTCTACTCTGCGCGCTCTGCGAGGAAGCCTTTCTCCGGTTCCGGTCGGACAGCGCGGAGTTGAATGTCAGTGACCTTCGACTCCCGGCAAGACTTTGCACATATGCTGTCGGCCAGCATGTGGCAGAGGTATGCTTAACCACGCACGCAAAGTGAATGCAGCATTATAGCGAATAACAAGTTGCCGTAGTGAGACGAAGCCACGTGGAGGAGATGTCTTGGACCACCTGGGCTACCTCGGAATCACAGACGAAGCGGCTGCTTCGCTGGCCAAGGAGGTCTCGCGCTTCTCAACCCTGGACTTCCAGGATCTTCAGTGTTTGCAAGCCTTTGCCGACAGCTTCGCAACTTCCCGGGAGCTTCGCGGCCCCATGTTGACCAAGTCAGGAGATGCAGAGGGTGATCGAGTGTGCGGGGAACTTCGAACGCCAGCAGATCGAGCAGGCGTTTCAGAGACAGGCAAGCGTGATGAGGGCTTGCACGTCATCTGAACACATGCAGCCAGCTCAGTCTGAAGCACTTTGAGTTTCTCTGCAAATCAGCAGTGGGCCCTGGTCTCCTGCAGCCTTCCCGAGGAAGTTGTCTTTTGTGAGCTTCGTGCTACCTCCAAAAGTTCGCCTCCCCGCAATGCCAGGCCGTTGCACAGCAAGATGGCGCCCACGTGCACGTGAACAGACTCTCGGTACCCCCTTCCATGATCATGTTCTGGTGTCCGGATGATTCTTCACCGCGCTCCCTGGCCCTTCACCAATCACTCCACTCCAAGGACTGCAGTTCATCCTCCATGAACTGGGTGCCACCTCGGACGGCCAAGCGGTGCGCGAAAGCCTTGCAGCATGGGCCACAGTCCATGACAACTCGTCCTCGAGAAGAGGTTCTGCTATGTTGTTGTCTGTTGTCATCGTGCCAGAATTTGACAAAGGGCTGCCACTTCCATGCCCTTCGTAAGCCCCCAATCTCGCCCCACTCGCCTGAAGAGCCCCTTTAAGCCAATTTAGGGCACGCCAGAAGAGCACGCACCTCTGCTGCCAACCATTGCCAACCTAGGCCTCAAACCTGCCGGAGCCTTCTGCGACGGACGGTCAGCAGGCACTTTCTCAGCCCGCCGATTCGACTTCAAATAGTTTTGTGTCAAAGCTCCTCACGGTTTGCCACAGGTGCTGCTAAGTCCTCACAGTACCTTTTCTCTCTTGAGCATGATCCACGCGTGCAATCAGACCTGCGGCCGTCTTGTATAGAGTTCGGGCTTCACATTCAGCATGTTAGCTGCGCCCTTACGTGCAACTGGCAAGCCAGGAATGCCCAGCGCCAGGCTCCGCTTGGCTCGACTTTGACCAGGTGGGGCCCTTCGTATGATGCGATATGGTGGCCAGTTACCACGTTTGATCGAGGCTGTGCTAGAGTTTGGGTGGCAGGTGAATTACTTCCTGGCCACTCACCGGGCAGCTCAATGTTGCCACCGGGCAGCAGGCAGCAGGAGGAAGGCGCGTTCGTTGACTCTGCATTCCCGAGGCTCCGAGGCGCTGGTGCAGAGCGCAGAGACGATCTTCAAGTCCTTGGCACATCGGCAAAGTGGCCGCCTCGAGGCCGCCAAGCCGAGTCGCAGAGCAGGGACCAGGACCTAAGACTCCGACTCACGCTTTCTTCCGGCTCAGCCGAGCAGGTGAGTGCCTACCGGATCCCAGAGCTCCTCAGTCGGCTCTTCGAGGCTTGCGGCTTTAAGTCCCTTTGTCCTTGTCCTGCGTGATCCTGCGTGCCACTCTGGCCTCAGAGGATGACGTGCTGCAGTCCGTGAAAGAGTTATGCTGCTTGGCGTGAGATGCTCGCACAGTCGTGCCATCATTATCACTTCCACGCTTTTGCTTGGGTTGTTCGGGTTGTTCGGAAGCGGTTCCGCAATGAGGGGATCATCATGGCTTTTCTCGGTTGGGGGATTCAGCGAAGACTTTCATCTTAGCTCAACCCGCAAAGAACAGCGGCATGCATGTGAGCTGCGAGGGCTAAAGAAGGCAGAGAGGGCTCATGGTATTCCCAGCGAAGGACTTGTCAAGGAGAACAGTTCCCGCGGAGTTTCACCCCTCTGGAAGCACTGGGCGGCGGGGTCGTAATGGTTCGCTTCTCGTAATGGTTCGCTTCACGAAGAAGCAGAAGACAAGTTCGTGAGAGAGAGATAGGAACGGAGGACAGGGCGCTCTTCTTTCACCATGCGTTTGCTGCCTGTTTCCAAGCCCAAACCCATCCTGTCTAAGCCTTCGCAGAAACTCTGCATAGCTGTGTCAATTCGTTTGGAACATCCGCCAACGCCGAGGCCAGAGGCTCGAAAGCAACGAGGCTGCCCAAGGCTGTGAGAGCCGCTGGGACTGGGCTTTGGTGTTGTGAGTCCCAACAATGCATGACACGATTATGGGGTGGACCCATGATCGGCCGGGGTGGAACACTGTCCCCAGGCAGCTCCTGCCTCTGGGGCATTCTTTGCCTTTACCAGCTACAACAGAAACAGAACGAATCATTTGCTTTGAATCGATTTGCAGCCTCTTTGTTCAGCGAATTGTTTGGACTTCGAAGTGCCTTTCGCATCTGCCGAGGCGATGCCTCCGGAGACGAGGGTGTTGATGTCCACCGGCAGCGAGCTTAAGCAGCTGTCGTAAGTTCGCAGGAATTTGCATCGACATGCGCGTAAGGCCATGTCGGTCCATGGGCCTTAGCGAATTTCTTACCTGGCTCCGGCGCCTCCGCTGCCTTCACCTACGCCGTGCCTGGCAACAGTATGAGGAGGCACGATAACAAAATGTCATGAAGACCAGTCTAATAGTTTGTCTTGAAATCATAGTTATGATTCATGCAATTATCGCGACAGGCATGCGCCTTTGAGCCGTTATGTGGAATGAACGCATCTATCTGAACTGACCAGGTAGCATGCTCTCCAGGAACCTTGGAAGCAAGAAGAGCTTTTGAGATTACTTACAGCCGAAGCTCCCTCGGCACTTGGGGAGGTCAGATTTATTTTTTGAAATCTCGACTTTTGTGCCATGGGCCATGCCCGCATATGATAGTTTCCACGGCAAGCCCTGCCCGTGAATCACGAATCGGAATTGCGGGTGTGCTCCAGCACGGCCTGGCAGGGCTTTTGATGGCAGGGCTACAGCAGTCCAACACATAGGGTTCACGACATGGCGGCTGAAAGGCCATGTGTCTGTAGACGTCCTGGACTCCGTGTTGCCAGGCACGGCTGGAGTTGCGAGATGAATGGGTCGAAGTCGAGTCTTCTGAGTGCTGCTCAAACGCCAGATTGGCCCGCGGAACTTGAACGCCGAGCCCGGCACTCAGAGCAAAGTCAAAGTCGCCGATCGAGCTTGCGTGGTAGAATCCTGCTGCGCAAATCCTACAGGATGAGATCATGAAGGAGGACGGCAGGGCTTTGCACACTTTTTGTTGTGAGAGGTATCGTCGTAACCATTGGGTGAACACTCCTTGGACCGGACCCCCATGCCGGAGTGCGCAGGCTGGCCTGCAAGGGATGGAAGTGCTCAGCTTCGACGTCGTGGATTCGTTACGCCGACGCTGCTGCCTCCCAACTCGCAAAAGGCAGTGTGCAGTTCTGACCGGTGCGACAATCTGCTAACCCTAAGGCATATGGGAGAAAACGGCTGCAGGCTTTGAGCCGTGCGATTAGGACAACGAAAACGTCTTTTCATGTTGTCAAGGTAAGTCGAAGACGAAGCAAAGGCACCAGTATGAAATGTGGCAGAAGCGTCGAAATGCCTAGGCTTGATGAAGGACTTCTCCGTGTCGGAGGCTTCTCAACTTAGTGGCCATGGTGCTTGTGGTTTGATTCTTCAGACTTTGATGTTGAAGGCAGGAGCGGTAACAACGTCTCAGCTCCAAATCTTGGAAGAGCCGCAATTGCCTTCAATAAACCGGGTGATGCGTTCTCGTAGACTCCAGTGCAATGGACATCCAATCCAGGCGATGTACTTCACAGGTGTCTTCGGGCACTTCCAACCTGAGGCCCGCTCACTGCAGCTGTTGGTGAAGGGGCGGTGCTGGTTTTGATGATTACGGAGACCTTCACCAGATCGCATAGACACCACAGGTCAGGGTAGACCAACATAGACCAACGCTCAAAGGTGCTAATAGCTGTTTATCCAATCTTGCTTGCGCACCTGTTGATTCTGCTGGGTCCTGAGCAGGATCGTGTTGGATTCGTCGACCGCGCGGACTGCCTGTGTTTGTTTCGCTACATGGGCTGCCTGACGGAGATCTCGGAGCTGACTCTGCACCTGTAGGTTCGTTACGGGCCTCAGGTTGTTTTTACATCAGGTGGATTCTGCTGGAGCCCTTGGACTGTTTTTTTTTTCTGTTTTGTCCCACGCTGGGGCTGCTTGGGACATGTGAGACACTGTGAAAAAGCCGCTGGAATGGATGGCACATGCCCGGTGATGCAGCTTGAGCAAGTAACCATGCCCCCACATACGTCCAGCAAAGGCTACGGCCTCAAGGGCGACGAAATCTACTCACTGCTTTTGGATGCCAAAGCAGCGGGTCATAGGCTGTTGAGCCTGAGCGCAGCCTGGCTTAACTTCGCTGTTGGACTGTTGCGAACCCAGGAAAGCTACATCGAGTTGTCCTGGCAGCTGCAGGTAAGTCAATTAGATCTGCACATGAGGGTCTGCCCGAGAGGTCTGATGCGCAGCTTTCCTTGCACTGCTGCTTGCAAAGGTTGCTGGAGCCATGATCAGTTGTTTCCGAAGCTAGCACAGCTTCATGTCAAAGAATCACTATCATAGTAGCTGAGTCGTGTGCGCTTGGATGAGTGGCTGCACGTGTCCTGACCCATGTTCCTCACCGCGCACAGCTGTCCTTTAAGCCCTGCAGTATCACAGCCGAGCCGCAACATTGCCGGATTTCTGAGGATTTCCTGAGCATGATGAGGCTGGCCGTCTCGAGGTTTCAGGGTTCAGAGTTCTGATGATAGGAAGGCACAGTGCTTGCTGTCAGAAAAGTTATTCGTCTAGAGCAGAAGCAGCTTCCGGAAGAATCCGGAAGACAAGTCCAAGCCTGTCTGTGCGGGCCATTACCCAGTAACGGTAATTCCGCGAACCCGTAGATTTCCATGCCACCATCCACAAACGCTGGCAGGGCATGCCGCGTGCGGGAGACAGGCATGCTGAAAACAGCATCCCTGCCGAATGTTGCGACACAACTTGCGCAGACATGTTGCCTGGTGGCTTCCGGCACAACCGCCGAAGCAAGCTTCAGCTTATGGTTCGATGGGTCTTGTGAAGTGATTTCAGTATCCTGTTACAAACAGGTGGAGATTCGTTGGAAAGGGGAGCTACATGCAGTAATTGCTTTGATGTTCTGTTGGTGTGTCTAGGTCATGACCTTGCCTGTGCAATGAATGGCGTTTAGATCTATTCCAGAGGCTTGACTATTGTTTGACTCGATTGATCCTCGTCACAGCCCATGATGTGGTACGCAGTGGTTCAATTGCTGCCTCGATCGTGCCGTGAAGCCACTCTCTGCATAGTTCGAATGAGGCATACGAGATGAAGGCGCAGTGTGGGCCTCAGGAGACCGAAGATGTTGGAATGACATCGATCTTCGGCAATTCGGGGAGCAGTTGAGTCTTTGACAGCAAGGAGTTGGCGATTGCCTCTATTGCAGTCGTTGCTGAGGGACATGGGCCTCTCGGACCTGAGTGACTTCGAGGAGACAGGCTCGGGCCTGTCTGTGTCCGACGAGGAGGAGCCCCTTGTGTGTCAAAGTCGAGAGATCAGAGAGCACGCCCAAAACATCCAAATGTCCTCGCCTCGGTGCCTGGGCAGGACGGTCCCCTTGAGCTCGTCCTCAACAGACGACAGAGCACCTGGGCTGCCGCCAAGCTGGCATTCGGATTCCCTTGGGACGAAAACACTGGCAAGGCAACGAAAGCTCCAGGGCGGCCTTCCGGCGGCGCAGCAGCGTCAAGCAGGACACACTCGAGCTTCTGCCTTGCGCTGCAGCAGAATGCCCCCCGGATGCCCCCGTCCAGGATGCGCAGTCCAAGAGCCAGGCGCGCCTTTGAAGAACGGGCCCCGGGCTTTCTTGCCGCACTCCTCGCTGTCCATCGCTGTCGCTGTCCGCGGACACCGGCGGAGCCGAGCCTTGAACCTTGAAGCTCCGTCGCACGGTCGTTTCCCCGGACCTTGGCTCTTGGACAGGTCAAAGGCGAGGGCCTCGTGGTGCCTTCTGGTGTCCTGGAGGCCCTTGATCGTCAAAACTTGGTGGAACTTCTGCCGTGTATTTGCAGCCCTGACGACACCATGAGCGCAGGCGCTAGGTGCTGTTGGCTGGTCGCTGGCCGAGGAGGCGCTGTACGAGGCAGCTGCGGTTCCACTTCGACGATCGAAGTAGCCGGAGCCAGATGGCAAAAGCGCCCGAACCTGAAGAGTCCCATCCCTTGGTTTGATTAACTTCCTCTGGGCACTCGACTGTGAAGGCACTGGCACGCCTCGGCTTGACTCGGAACTTGCTGAGCCTGGGGGAGTTCCAATCACTAGCAACGTTCCTGAGGTTGAATTCATGGGAGGGTCTTCGGGAGGTTGAGATGAAGAGGGTTTTTCTGTCAGAGATTGTCATGAATCCGTGCGAAGTGCTTTCAGCAACGTGCGGCTAAGTCTCAGAGTGACTTGAGGCTGCTACGTGAGGAGGAGGCCACGCAAAAGCAGACCCGAGCAGGTTGGTCTACTTCCGAGGCAGGTGCAGCCGCCGTTGCAGTTTTTCGTGAAGTCCTGCCAGCCTTGAGTGGAGAAGAAGTGGAGTCAACCCTGCCAGGCCCGAGACATCCAAAGCCTTTACAATGCCCATGCCGGTGATGAGGGTCGCTTGGATGAGGCGGCCACGGTCTCAAGATAGCAAGAAATGCAGAGGAGCCACCAGCAGAGTAGCCCTCGCTTACGCATCTGTAGTGCCGCAGACTAGATTCTCCACAGCGGATGCTTTGCTGGCACGCTCGAGCTCAGCTTTGATAAGGTTACTGCACCTTTCCTTGCCAATGCCAGGATGGATTGCAGAGATTGCTTTGGGATCTCGATATCAGAAAAGGCCACTGCCTGAGAGATTTGGCTGCGTCCTGCAGCCATGTAGCTTCTAAGCGCATTCCTCAACTCTGTTCCAACTTACATGCTCGTGAAGGGTGGCTTGGCTCTAGCCCCGCATTGCCCTGCACTGGGCTTCCAAGGCTTTGGGGAGCTGAAGCAGCTTCTGGAAAAAGCTCGAATGCTCAGCAGCGATGAGTTTGGAGGGAGCAAGGCTGCCAAAGGGGCTCATAGTCTTGCGCATGGCGATGGACATTTGTAGCAGATGGACATTGGAGTCAGCTCGGCTGTATCTTAGCCTAAACAACTGAACAACCTACCTCGGATGGGCGACAGGGTACGACATGGTACGACCGTACGACCCGCGTGTAGCAACTTTTTGTTTGAAGACTGCGAGCGCTGGGACGCAGGTGACCCTTTCAACGTTAATGCACTTGCTGCGCTTCATCTCCCAGAAGGGACTGCGAAGCGCCTTTGGCAGGGAGAGCGAGGCGGGTACACCAGCACGAATGCCTTTTGAGGACCAGAGCACATCCTGTATGAAGCTAGCATAAGCTAGCTAGGCAGCTTGGTCACATCAATGGTAGAGTTTTTTGCGCTGCCGCAGGCCTTCTACGCGGAATCTTGTTGCCTGGCTGAATTGCTTTGGAGCTTGCGTTGGCATGTAAGTCGTAGGCATCGTCATCTCGAATGCCTCAAAGTTGGCACTGCCTGACAGGCACAGAGGCCGACTTGGCCGGCTACCGCGATCTTTTCCGAAAGCTGCGGAGCTCGGAAAAGCGGCTCGGTCTCAAGGATGGCCTCAAGGATGCAGATCGATTTCTGGGCCGAGCAGTCAAGTGATGCAGTCGGTCTATACTGGGTTAGCTTCCATCATGGCAGTGCTTCTTCCTTCGATGCAAAAGCTTACATCTGGCCAGAGTGGCAAATTCATCCCAGCCCCTGCTGCGCAGACCTGCGGATGCAGAGACTTCTGGTCGCTTAGCACAATGATTAGACTTTGGGGGCAAGGGCAAGTTGCGATCATCCGTTGAATCAATGTGGCCGCGCTTCAACTACTTGTTGGGTTTGAACGTGCTTCGGTTTGGTCTTTAGCTGAAGATCGCCAAGGGCCAAGCTTTCTTGCACAAGTCTGTGGTTTGTGTATTGTTGCTCCCGCGCGTGCTGGAGCCTTTGCATCATCAACGGTGGGCTCATGCAGACGTTTACGCTGGCTTGCTGCACGATCTGGTGTGTCTCTGCTTCATGCCACCTAATAGGATAGACCGCACAGAATATACTGGTAGCATACTGCATCTGAGAATGCCTGCAGGGAACTTTCCAGAATGTAGCAGGTATGGTGGCAATGATTCGGAATGAATGGAATTTGATGTTGCGATGGTTTGCGGCGCATTGTTATCTATACAGCATGCGCAAGCGCGACACATGAACTGGAGCCATGCAATACCCTTACACAACTCAGAATAGACGTTTCAAGCAGAAACAACGCGGATGCGACAATAAAGGTGTACATCTATCAGGTTCAACAACTCAACAGTTGATGTTCTAGTGGAACAAAAGGCCAGTAGCCCCCTCGAAGTTTCTCCACACATCGCATAACTGGCCAGGCATCTGGTATTCTCGGCATGGTGTGACGGGGGGTAGGGCGACGCAAGCGCGGAATCCAGTTGTCGGTCCAGTTTTCACTTTGTCCTTGAAGGGATGTCTGTCTTCTACACACTTCTGCGATGTCTCAGCAGTGACAACAGTCACGAGGATCGGTGGCTTTGGTTGAGCTCCTCGTGTCTGCTGTCGTTTTCGGATTCTAATTCATGTCTGCGATGCCTCGATGGTGCCAACACCGTGGCTTTGGGTTTGAACTCGCACTCATATCGCTTCAATGGATCAAAGCGGGCCAAGAGTGACACTTGAGTAGGGCGGGACCAAGCCGATCCAGCCCATGAGGAGGCAAAATTGAACCCAGCCCAGCCCAGCCCAGGCTCAGCCCCAGCCCGGCCCAGGCCAGGCCCAGCCCATCCAACACAAACCCCAACTCCTCCAGCCTCAGCCCACCCACACAAACTGTGGAATGAGTGTAGATCCATGTGAGTGGCCAAGAAAATGCCAAACGACTTGTGCAACACATGAGCTGTGTTGGAAAGTTAATCAAACAGGCCGTAGGCAATTAGGCAAAAGGCAACAGTCGAGTACTGGAAGTTGAGAACCAGGATAGCACACCCACCAGCGAACATTCGATCCGAACGATACCATAACTGAATCATAACAGGGCGCTGACATAGGACACCATTGGAACCGGGTTGACAAGCACATGAACAAAAGATATCAGGGTGTAAGATGTAATTTGTATATTTCCCTGCGAGTGCGCAGAGGGTTAAGCACTTAGAATGAATACAGAGATCATATGATAATGGATGACGAAATATCGCGAACCATGTAAAATCTACAAAAAATAGACATAGACAGCATACGGTATACTGTACAGCATAGACTGGCAGGTCTATAGCTTGCATGTCACATATTTTATAGTTTTATCATACTATGCAGCATAAACAAACATCTAGCCTTCATGTCGCCTATACGGTATACCCAACCTATACACTGTAGTTATAGAGTTATAGTATATACACTACATCTGTTTTTGAATGTGTCTTGTCCTGAGTCGTGGTTCTGCAAGATGGTTGGAGCTTTCTCAAGTCAACTCATGCATACGGGGGCATGTGCATGTGTGGCACAGAGACCCAGAGCTCACGCTCCAACCTGAGGCTCCAGTTCCAAGTTCCGAGGGAAGTCTGAGTCGGGTCTCACGGTCCCGCTCCTGACGCAGGAGGCTCAAAAAGATGTGAGCAGGGGTCGTGGCAGTCACAGAAGCGCATCTGTTCGGATCACCCCCGTCTGCAGTCGCGAGACCTCCGTGCACTTGTTGCAGAGCACCCAGGCAGCCCGCGTCCCATAACGGGAAGCGCCGCATACGGAAGTGCAGCCCTGGCCGGACTCTGAGCCGGAGTTGGACTGACGACTCCGGAAAGCTCTTGAGTAACATCTGTCCTCGCAGGGCTGCAGGAGGAGTACCCAGTGGTCGTACAGAAGATCAGGTTCCCAGCATGCACTCTGCATCCAAGTGTTGTACCTTGATGCTCGCTGGCTTTTTTTATGTCAGAGACACAGAGACGCAGACACTCGGGCAGCCAGAGACGCAGAGACAGCAGAGCGAGAAAGGCACTTGGAGAGGACGTGACAAAGAGAAGAGGGGACGTGGGGACCCGGGGAGTCCGGGCCCACTCCGGGGGCCCCAGTCCGCCATCGCCGCCTTGGCCGAGAGCCGAGCTCGCAGGGGGAAGGGGGGACGAAATTGGGGGGAACAGCGCGCAGTTTCACCTATCCTAAAGTCTTAAAGTGAAAGTGCAAGGCGAGGCTTCTGGACCGGCCATGCAGGCGGTATGCAAAAGCCAGTGCCGCGCAGGGGAATGCAGTGCATTGCCATCTTGTTCCTCCCACTGAATTGGCCACGCCAGTGCTTGCGCGGGAGCGCACAGGAAGAGGGCCCAAAGGACACCCTCCTTACAGCGTGCAAGTAGAAGACACGAAGATCCAGAAACGCAGAGACACGGACACACAGAAGCACAGACATGCGGAGAGCGATGCAGACAGACGGAGGCACAGAAATTACTGTAAACTCTACAGTGTAGAGACGCAGACAGACAGGAGATACACTACCTTCAGCTTGGGAGCCTGGCTGCTTTTCAAAAAGTCATGTGAAACGCTGGGTTCAGGCTTTGAATGAAACCGCATCAGCGATGTGGGCTGATGTCCGATGTTTGCCAGGTCAGCTTTGGCAGTGCCGAGTTCGGTGCAACAGGCCCGGCCAAGTGCAGCTTTTCCTTGAAGTGCGTGCTTTAGGACCAGGCCTACAGCCGTAGGGAATGTTGGGTCGCGTGCCTGCTGTGGCAAAAACTTAAAGAGTTCCAAGACTGCTCAGTGCACAACACTTTCTTTGACCCGAACCGGAACCGAAAATCTCTGGCATGCTGCAAGGTCTCGGGGGCAGTTGTCGTGGGCTCAGCTGCGGGCGAATGCCCCCACATCGGTGTGGGGATGCCGAGGAAACTTGTACTTGTTCCTTCAGTTTCAGCCTGAGCCCCATGGCAAGGTCATGAAGTTTCTACGGCGCCTGGGACACCGGTGTGGGGGCGGTGATCAGCTGTCTCCGCAGCAGCAGCCAAGCCCTCAGCGTTAGCATCACTGAAGTCAGCTACGCTTTGCATCCCCGGGAAAGCCTAGGGCCGAGCTGTGGAAAAAAGTCGAGGAGCTCAGCGCGAGCCTCAGCGAAAGGTTCCGGGGCCTTGGGAGGTTGAAGCCTGATTGCTTCGCACGTATGTGGCTGAGCACTCCTCAGTTTCTTCCTCTGTGTAGTGGACCGGAGACACAACTGGAATGGTGGCATACTGACAACATCTGACAACACGTAGAGAGTGCATGCCGGCACTCGTCATACTTCCTGAGATCATTGAATCTTTCAGCGCGACGCCATGAAGCAAGATGTAGTCATGCCCAGCCTGCAATCGTCAACACCCGCGTTTGGAATCTGCAAGAGAGGATTAAGTTGCCCGAGCCAGCCCAGGCGTGAGCAAAGAGGCTCGAGACATGCTCAGCTTTGCAGCTTTCGCCCGGTGCCAAGTTTTCTGCAATCCATGCCCCGTACGGGGGACTGGCAAGGGTTCGCTGTTGTATCAATTTCTGATTTCAGGTTCGATTCGAAAGCAGACCTGCTTCCTCAGTTGGCGTCAAGGTTTTTTGGGACGTCGCTCTTGGAGTGATTTCGGGTGGCTTCTGATTCGGATTTTGAAACGGACTGTTGTTTTGAATCAACGCACACACGTACCGGTATTGCCTATCGCAAGCAACTCCTGTGTTGAAGCCCAGCGGTCGGCAGGCTGCGGGGACGCTTTGGGTCGGGGCGGCACCCACAAAAGAACACACAGCCGGAAAGACAGCTAAACACATGTCGAATACTCGCAGCTCGTATTTTCGGTGGATTGAACTGTGTTTTGAAGTCCAACTATGCCTCCGGGCAGAGGGTCCCTTGCATCGCAGATGGTGTTGTCGCTTAGAATTTCTTTGTTTCCTCTAACTGCGACAGTCAAAGTGTAGGAAGTTTCACCTAGGTGCGCCTCCTGGGCTGGGTCCGCCGGTCGGATTTTGCATCAATCCGACACCATTCCGACAAAGTCGGCTCTTTTTTCCGGCTGGCCGAGTCCGTGGAAATCTAGGGTTTCCGTCATTCAGGACAAGAGGCGCCTACTGTTGAAATCTTGCAACGTGGCTTGCTTGCTGAGCTCGATTTCCATCTGCCGTATTGCGGAAGGACTTGTTCCAGCCTTTCATTTAGATGTAAAGAGCACCTCTTAAAGTGCCTATTGAGTGTATGCGCTCTGAAGATCAGATGCGCTGCGGTTTCAGCACCCATGGTCCTTGCCGACATGGGGCAACGCCAGGTGTCCCCTCGGAAGAAGGAAGATTCAGATTGACACCGGTACCAGCCTAACAGGATGTCTTAATGCAACAGTCTGTGACACCTTCGACTCGTTCTCTTTACCAACACTGCGGGTCTCAACGGGTTTATGCCCGAGGCCCATGAGGGCAGAACGAGGGCAGACATGTTCAGTAGTGATGTTGCGTGGGGTTGAGCAAATTGGATCGTGGCTCCCAAAGAGTCTGGGCTCGCCACATCTCGCCACGCTGGGGATGGTTGTGTGTATATGGGCGTTCGGCCTTCCATAATTCCTGTGGTAACTGCAGTCACTGTCGACGAACTGCTTGGGGTGTGGCTAGACCAAGCTGCATCCTAGAATAGAGATATCGCTGCCCAGCGATTGTGTAGGGGCTAAGTTGCAACGAGGCAGGCGGTCTGAAAACCCGTCGCGAGAAGTTTGTGCTGCTGCCATCAAGCCAGTCTGTGACGGAACATGATTTGCTGAAGACTTCATGCAGTACTTGGAGGCCACTTTGAGGCCGTACATTCCGAGAACCTTAGTCAGGATGCTTCCGAGGATGCCAGTGTCTGAAGGAACGACCGCAGCGAACACGGAAACCGCTGAAGTACGCAAGCAGATGTTGGTTTCGATAAACGGAGAACCGCATCAAATCTCGAAGAGTCAAACAGTCAAGAAGCCGAACAGTGCTCGACTTTTGTTTTCTCGTCCTTTGCGCACTTCTCGGTACTTATCAGCTTTTCGGGTCTTTGACTTTTCGACTTTTACTTTAGCGTTTTTATGCGCTTACGCACTTTTAGGTACTTTTCGGGTTTCTTGTCTGTGCTTTTTGGGTTTTTTTGTTCGGCTTTTGGTGTTTGTCTGAGCTTTTCGAAGTGGTCGGTGCTTAGCTAGCGCAGACCTGGGCTCTGGGTAGGCCTGGCGAGGCCCGGCGCTGGAGTGGGGCTGGGTACACCTGGCCAAGGGCTAGACCTAGGCCGGCCAAGAGGTTGGGTTGGATAGATATGGATAGGTAGGCCGAGGACGAGCGCTTGGGGTAGGCCATGGTAGGCCTGAGGCAGCAGACGAATAGCAACTGAGCAGTAGCAGCCCGGAAGTAGTCGTAGTAGTACTGTCATTAATCGTGGCAGTAGTTTTCAGCAGAGTCGCTTAATGGCAAACTTTGTTGAATTTCAATCCATTTCGGGTTCCGCCCAAGCCGCCAATAAGTAGCCACAACATGGGTATTTTGGCCGAGGTTTCGGGTTTAGCGAGCTCTTCATCTGTGCTACTTCAATATTTTTTGAGAATTTGCTTTGTTCCAACAAACACTAAGGTAGCCAAGACATACAGGATTTTGGTAGGTTGCTGGGGTCTTAGGAGGCAGCCAGTTGCATATGTCAAGTCAAGATTTGTTTTTTCATGTTGGTTTTCCGAAACATCCAGCGGTAGCAAAATCGCTGTAACATAGGCAGTTTTCCATTGCTCAGTTTAAAAACAGCGGAGCCATTCGTATTTTGGTGCATCTTCGGATTGTGGACCCAATGTTCAAGGAGTTTTGAGCATTTCGCGTGTCCACATGCGCCAACCAGAACCTCGTGCGCGGCAAATTCCAACGGTTTATTAGCTTTTTGGGCATCCTCGAAACAATTGAGAAAAAAGAAGCCATGGGCATTTTTGATTTTTCTAGTTTGAGGAACCCGTAATGGTAACTCTCGTGGTTCCGACAGCACAAAAAATTTGACAAGACAACGGCATTTGGGTCAATTTTCGGGTCTGGGAACCACCAAACGGCAAATTTTGGTGAGTTTGAAACCATGTCGGGTTTCATCCAAGCAGCCAATAGGTATCCAAAGCATTCCAAAACATGGATGCTTTTGGCTGGGCTGGGTTTTCGGGTCAGGCGAACTCCCCAGAAGCGCTGTCTCAGTGATGTTTGACCCGACTTGTTGAGTTTTCGCCTTTGCGGTGGTTTTGGATTTTGCACATTTTTGGATGTGTTCTTTCGACTTTTCGAGCTTTTTTGCCGTGCTTTTCGCGGCTTTGCGGCTTTTATTTTTATTTTTTCCGTGCCTTTCGACTTCTCGCAGCTTGTCTTGACTTTTCGGGTTTTCTTGTTCTTCGTGCAGAACCTTTATCCAATGCCACTTTTCGCTTTTCGGATTTTTGCATGCCGTTCGCCGTCTGCGCTTATCTGCGCCCACAGCCATTCGCAAACAAAGCACGAAGCCCACCCCAAATTTGCCATGCAACATTTGTGGTGACATGCCTGTTTGTGGCAGTTTGCTTTGTCTCGCTTCTGCGAGAGTGCTCCGCCATCTCTCAGACATCAGACACTTCCAGGTCGACAAGGTGAAAGCCTGGGAATCTTTTCAGAGCACGTGCCTAGCATCAACTCAGCAAGCAGAAACAGTGCACAGCCGCATTGCGAGTGCTTGTCGAGCTGTGCTTGCAGGCGGGGTCTCGGTCATGGCATCGTTTTTTTGCTGTTTATGAGTTCGCACGGAGCATGGTTGCTGGATGCTCGGTCCAGTTCTTGAGCTTTGCGTCGGGCGAATCGATTTTGAATCTGAGGCGGCGGAATCGTTGGGATTTCAGTCTTGCAGACTTGATCTTAAAAGCAGGTGACTGCTGGCACATCTCATGGAGGACGGGTTTGCGGCAAGGTACAAGATTGCACGTCGAGATATCGCGAGTCTCGCGAGTGCGGCTCCAGGGTCGGCCATCTCTGTGACCTGCATCCTCATGCCGCCAGGACAGGGACCCGGGTCCCGGCTTGGCAGTGCTCCAGGCAAGTTGCAAATGACACTGTGAGTCTTCCCAATTCTGTAGCGCAGCCCGGTGTCGTCTTGCAAAGCAGATTCCACCACATGGTTTGGCCTGATGTGCTCCCCATCTTGACTTGGATCGGGGTTCTAATGAATGAGATTAATTTGCCATGGAGGAATGCGACCAAATCCGGCAAACAGCCTTTTGCAGCTTTCGTCTAGCTGACAAGACATGTGTCACCATGTGGCACCTCAGCTGAAAGTTAGACAGCATCCTAAGTTTGACGGCTATGAAACCGTACCACAGCGACACCTGCAACAGCAACCGAGGACAGTTGAGCAGGTTCTGACTCTTGTGCTTAGAAGTTAGAAGTGCATCAGTTGGGCCAAATCGAGCAAAGTGATTGAGCATTGCCTCCGTTCTTTGCTTCTTCAGAACGGGACTCCGGAAGCCCCTTGACAGCTGGCCTGTCCGTTTTGAGAAGTTCCCTGGCAGTGCAGGATCTGCTGCAGCGGCCAGGACCCGATGTGGTTCGCTGGGCCGTGGAGCAGGTCATCTGCTTTGTTGGACTGTGGGATGGCCGAGTCCGCTTTTGTTTGACAGAGCTCTCTTCGTCCTAAGCCCTGGGGGATAGCGTGTCTTAATCCACAGGTGCTCCCTGAAGCCCTCGAGAGTCTGCTCCTGTAACTGTAACAACAATGAGCGTTTCCTCTTGGCCCTAGGCCCCAGGCCCTGTCGCTGCAAGCAGTTCCTTCGTTCGGACTCTCGAGGCGCAGTCGCTGTCACGGCCCGGGACGAATGTGCAGCAATCACAGATCTTCCAAATGGCAGGCCCTGCAGAAATAGAGACGTATCATGAAAGCTCCTCTGTCCTCTTCTCAAACCTAACCACATGTCGACTTGCAGGTGCTCTGAACACGGCATCTGTCGCAGAGAAGCAGGCACTGAAGCTCGCTCACCATCTCACGTTCACGTCCCACTCTCAGCCCATAGGAACTGGTGCGTGCCGCCATCTCTGGCTTCGGACAGCTGCCGGCAGATCAACGAGCAGAGGCCCTGCGGGTTTGTGTTTAGCTGCCTTTGACTGCGTTCCTGCGCAGACTCGCGGGGGTAGATCTGACCTGTGCTGGGAGAGGCTCTGCGCCTGGTAGTCAACACGGCAGCAGCAGCACAGGCCGGGCATGCAATGCAGAAATTCGCGATTCTTCCTGTCCTCATCTTTCGTTATTTTGCAGATTAGGCCGAGTCTAAAGGTGATGGTGAGAATGCTGCTAGCAGCTTGGATTCTGTGTTTGTTTGTCGGCGCTTCAAGGTCGGCCCGCATCCCACGGCGGCCTGGCTATTGTCTGCGGCAGCGTTCATGCCAGATCAGCTCTCGAGGGATTCTGCCAGAACTTGTCGAAAGTGCAGCTTTGTTGACTTTGTGAGAAGCCGGCGCCTGCCGGCAAACTAGACTGAATGATTTGCAATGCCTTGTAAACCAGCTCAAAGAGGCATGTTCACCTGGCCAGGCAGAGGGCGAAGTTCCCCCCCTGATGCAGGCCAGTGGGCAGCCACTCAATGGTTTTTAGGTAACGAATCTCCAAGATACGGTGACAATGGTACACTTACAGTCCTAGCTGTACATATTTGTCCATAAGCCTTCCAGTTGAGATGTGGCGTATCTTTATACTCCTTGCAACCTACGTGCTGTGCGAGTTGGCGAACCATCAAGCCGGCATGAAGCGGCTGGCCTCATAAGCTTTTGCTGCACACACCTGCCTGCCCCGGACACTGCATGTGTGGAAGAACGTCATGGCGGTCGTGAAGGAGGCGAAGCTGCATGAGATGCCAAAGGAGGACATCTGCTTACCAGTTCCCCTCGAGTCCGAAGCCTGAGGTCTGTTTCACCAGATTCAGCTGCTCAAGACTAGGGACCTTGCATGTCTGTGCCAGTAACATGCCATGCAGGAGAAGGCGATCCTGGCACAGGCCACGACTGCTCCGTGGAGCCTTTTAGACGCCGTGATGTGGCAGTGCCTTGTTGACCCTGCTCTTTTCCAAAGTCCAGCATCAGAACACATTTCTCTGGCTTCCTTTCTGTGCCTCGTCTGTAGTTCCGTCAAGCTGTGGCTGTGTCAGGAAGCCCGCCAAGATGCAGCAGAAATGGTTCAGCCACAGCAGATTCTGGAGGCCGGCAGCCAAGAAGTAGTTTTCGCACGCGATGTTGGAACCTTTGGGCTTCGGGTCATGAACAAGCTGTGCGAAGCCGAAGCCGTGCTCTGGACAAAAGGGGCATTACTGCGGCTACTTCGGGTGCTTTCGCTGCGGTGTGTGTGTGTGTGTGCGTGTGTGTGTGTGTGCGCGTGCATGGTATGCGTACGTATCCCGATAGTACACCGTTCAAACGTCAGGCCATTGGTCCACAGGCCGATTCGTTCACTCCTCGAGTGGTTTTGTGGCTAGGCTCCTCGAGTGGCTTAGAGGCTGGCTCCCCGTGTGGAGCGCGGGAAAATGAGCTATGAATGCAGCACTTTGCCCGAGCCGCTCGTAGATTCAGAGTCATTTTGGGGACCCTTCTGTGCACGCGTGCCTTCAAATTGTGGCTTGACTTGTTGGATCTGGAGAGTAGCCGCGATGGTCTGATTCCCTCTGGAGACTGATGCTATGGCCTTTCTAGATTTAGCTGCAGCTAGTGCACGTTGCGGCATCGAAACGGTGGAGAAGCATTCTCTGTTCAAGTCGGGCAACCTGATCTTCGTGTCTTTGCAGCTATGCCAGCTGAAGCTTTAGTAGAGAACTGCATGCCGACACGGGTGCCTCCACTCCATGTCCAGGTGGGTCGACTTGGCGGCTGACCAAATGCATGGCTTGGCATAGGGGCGGGGTAAGCTGGGACGCATGGATTGATGAAGATCCGTGGATACCCCGGCAGCCCACTGTGACGACGCCGACGGCAGCACCTACAGCAACAGTTGTTGAGGTCATCAAGATGAGCAGCTTCATTGACCAGGGGGACGACTTGAGTTCGTCCCAGAGAGCCTTGCGGTATACAGCTGATGGGTGGGTGAAGCGCTATACATGATGAGTGCTCTCCCTATAGAAGAAGAAGGCGTGACAGGAACAACCTTCTGCGCTTAACAAACATGTGAGACGTTAGAGCTTCCCCCTTTGTCGATCTAGGGGGTTTGGTTCCTTTTGGGCCTGGGGCACTTCGTGTGCCCGGATACCAGACGTACCAGACGGCTCAGGTGCGTACATTGCTAAGGAGCTGCCGGGGCCGAGCAACTGGACGCGGCTTGGCGGGTCTTCCAAACAGCGGCCCCCAGGGTGCGAAAGGCACATCGAGAGGCTCGTAATGTGATCGTCATGGCGGATGAGAAAGCCAAAGCAGAGATCTGGGCGAGGATGTTTTTACGAATCACTCCGGACATCACTGCAGGACGCCCGGCCCCAGCGCTAGCGCTGTTACAGGGATGGTCCGTGGGTTGCTAGTTTGCACCTCCTTGTGTCGGACAACACGTTCCGGGAAGCGCAGGTGAGATCCCCGAATATCCCCAGGCCTGGCGTCTGCATTGCACAGGTCTGGCGAGGAGCACCCAGGATCCTCAGTGACGAGGGCCACGTGGACAAGGGCAGCATGGAACTACCTGGACTCAGCAGCTTTGACATCGAAAAGATGAGCGCAGACTCGCCAAGAAGAGGAAAATCCAACTAGAGCGGGAGGAGCTGAAACAGCTGAGGGCTTCGTCCACTACCCTCAAAGGCAAGGGCGAGGGCAGCACAGAAGGAAGGCATGCTCAAGTCTACGGACCAGACTGGTGCGCCGTTGTGTTGTGTTTCGGGTACGATGGTGCTCGGGGTCCTTGTGCAGATTGCTCCCTGGCGATCCGTGCAAAGCTCTGGTTAAGCAGGTACGCAAGTGCAGAATCTGCCTTAACCCGGGTCACAGAAGCCCGGACTGCCCTCAGAGAACATTGTTAATGTAACCCATTCTTCGTCCAGACTGCTGCCGCCTGTGTGCATGTGTGGGATAGGTGCCTTGTGCGGCATGTGTGCCGGGAGCGCACGGCAGAGGACGGAAAACGGACAAACTGGCAGCGCCGGAACATCCGCATGCTGTATCTGCCTTTGAGGTCCCGGGGGTAGCACGATGGAGAGAACGACCAGGTCTTTCACGCGCAACACGTGCATCTATGCCCGGGGCGAGGCTGCCTAGCGCTCTGCAAGAGACCTGGGAGGGTTGTGGGGGGATGCTGGAGGCGGGTACATGTATTTGTGAAAGTGGCTTCGTGCGTCCAAAGTTGATCTCGCTGGCGCCTGAGGAGGGTCCCCCACGTTGCCGAAGAAAAATTGTAGGGGAACGCCGCTCATCGAAGAGCCCACCTGATGGTCGCCGTGTGCCCCATCTTCTTGCCCACAGCATTGCCACGGGACGGTGTTGTAAACAACACAAGTTCCTATGCAAGCTAAACCCTAAAATGGGCATGTATTGATCACCGTCGTTGGCCGTCCACAATTGAATTTGTTAATTATAAACAACACAAGTAGCATCAAGTAGCTGCGCCAACCAATCCCCAACAGTGGTCTCTGTTGGTCGACCACTGTCCACCGGCAGCAGACGAGCACTGTCCACCGGCAGCAGACGAGGAGAAACGATGTGATGTCAAAGGGCTGGGAGGGTTGGGCGGCGGGTCTCTCGGATTGTTTTCTTGGACTGTGCCGTCTTTAGCTCGCCATGCCGGCAGACGCCACCGAGCCACTCTGCCTCGGCAATAACCCTTTGGCTCAGCCGACAGCTCACCACCAGTTCAGCGTACGTCAGGCGCAGTTTCCAAGGGTAAGCAGCAGAGTCTTCAGAGCGACCACGCCAGCCAGGACAAAACCAATGAGGACCGCCGATGAGGACCACAACCTCGGGGGGCTGGCGATCACAGGGGCTTTCCATGCGTCGGGAGACGACGCTTGTACGGCAAGCTTAGCCGACCGCAAAGGGCCGTGATGGGATACGGAGTCCGCAGAGAGTGGAGCGAGCGATGCAAACAGGACCTCCGTTTTCGAATGTTCTTTCGCCGGCTCAGGGTATGGGCGTGGTTCAATCGCGGAGTTCTCCCACTGGCAAAGCTCATGAGCAGATCCCTAGCTACGGCAAGCAACGCCCGCAGCAGAAGCTGGCCGCACTGAGGTTGGCTCAAGATTCCAAGCACAGCAATTTCATGGGCAAGAAGACTGTTTGCCAACTACAACACCATGCTCCGAGGCTCGAGAAGGAGACTGAAGCCAACCTGTGGAAAGGCGAGGACGCCCCCAAACCGCCGAGCCAAGTTCGAGCGGGCTTTGGAGGTAGCAGCTGACGAGAACGAGATCGTAGATGCGGTCGCCGAGCTCAGGGACAGCTTCTACTCCGTGACCAACGCAGGCCCGCAAACGAGCAGGAGACAGGACGGCTAAACAGGGGCGAGCACCCCTTTGCTTTGAACGCGGACCTGGTGCTGAAGGTAGCCGCGACCCTTCAGAAAGCGGGCTTCGCGTCCGCGAACCAATACCTCGGCGCCCTCAAGCTCATGCACCTAGAGCTGGACCACAACTTCAGAGAGAGCCTTCGACCTCTGCGGGCGTGACCAGGCGTGGATTGGCGAGAGGTCAGGGCCCCCCCAAGAGGCCCTGAAGGACTTCCCTGCCCACAGCGAGCGACATGACCGCGCGGTGGGCCAACTGGTGTTCGGTATGGCGCGGCTCTGGTTTTCGTATGTTTTCGTGCTCCGCACAAACAAGCTCCACGAGCTTGGCTGGGAAGACGTGTGGTTCTTTGACGAAGGCGAGCGGATGAGATCAAATTGCACACCTCCAAGACGGACCAGACACGAAAAGGAGTCAGGCGCAAATTGAATTGCACATGCTGAGCCACGCCAACCACGTGCCCCATCGAGATCTAGAGGAAGCTGAAAGCCATGTTCGTGAAGAACAAGGTCGGTGTCGCCGAGGGCATTCGCATCTCGAAAAACTGCATCGCCACGGCTTGGTCCAGAGCACCGGGGACCAAGGTACAAGGACAGAGCCGTAGAAAGAAGGGGGTAAACAGAAAGCATGAACTGAAATGTGCGCAACACATGAAGGGCATGCAAACGCTATAAAGGCGGACGGCAAAAAAATGTGCCATGATGCAGCGCTTTGCCCGCAGCCGCCCGTAGATTCAGAGTCATTTTCGTTTTGCCCACCCACCCAGCCCTGTGGTTGGAGCGGTTGGAAGTAGCGACGTGGCAGCCAAAACCTGAAGGATGCACGATTCTGAACGCATCGGTCAAAAAGACTGCCTTCACGGGCGGAGGGTGGGAATTGCAGCAGAAAGCATGCCGTTTGTGAGTGCACGGTTTTGTAAAGATTCCAGTGGCATCATAAAGTTTTATAGTCAAAGTGTGGCATTGGTTGCGGCGATTTGCTGGAAGATTGTAGATTAGATTAGGTCGGCTGTTATGAAATTTGCTTGGGCTGTTTAAACGTCGTATGAGTTTGCAGTGTAGGAGATGGCTGCGATATAGTTTGCTGAAACATAGAGACATAGAGAATGTGAAGGGGCAGGTTGGTCTGGCTCGTACGCAGCTTGGAGATTCAGTATATTTGTATCCGAGGCTGGAATTTCCCCTCCTGCACTCCGAGCTGGACGTTCAGCGCGCACACGCACACACACACACACACACACACACACACACACACCCGGTGCGTTCATGAACCGCCGTGCATTGTTTTCAAAAGGCATGGAGATCTTGTCGGCTGCGGATTGCTCCAGGATTGCACACGGCATTGCATCACATCTTGCGCAGTCTGTTCGGCTTCATGCTAAGTCTGCTCGACGAAGGTCTGCCAAAAATGCCTTTAGGCAGAAATCCATCCCTTCCCCAATTCGGCGAAGGTCGTCTCGGAGTTGAGACCAGAAGAACGACATCAAGTGACTGAGGTTACAGTTTGCAGGGGTTGTCGTTGCGAAGATACATGTTTGCACTCTGCCCGCAGACTTTCTGAACTTGATGCTGCTTGTTGCGTGTCCATCCAGCAGCATGTCGAACGGCAGATTGGTTCAAGGTAGAAGATTGTAGAAGAATTATTGGGGCAGGGCGTTTCTGCCATCGCAATGGCCGCAGCCACAGCTGTACACACGGCAGCACCATGCACTGCCCCATCCCCAGTACGTGTAGCTCTGGGCCATGTTTCTCCAAGATCGACAAATGTGCAGAGAAAGAAAGTTGTGCTCTGTGTTGTTTCCTGGCTGGCATGGGCAGAAGCACACTCGAGGTTGCTGCAAGTACGATGCTTTCCCCTCAGCCAGTTCTTGCTGGCCTCGGATGTTGCTGTGGACCTGCACGGAGCCGCATAGGGTGCAAGCACGACAGACCTGCCTGCTCGCTGTCGGGCGAGACATATCAGCAAGATTGATCCGGAGCTGGAGTTGCAAAAGCAACTGAGGCGCCCTGTTTACGCCGGCAGTGGGAACGGGCCGCACACTGAAGCATAGGTGTGCACAGCATAGGCGTCGAAGTCGTCAGTCAACTGCTCTTGAATTCACAACAACTGCGTCTGAGTTCCTTCGTTCCAGCTGCGGCCATGCCGCAGGCAGGACCTGGCGAGAGCAGTGTGAGAGCAAACAGCGAAGATTCATGGAAGCCCTGAGCATGGCAATGCACTGATCTGCAACTCGTTGTGACTACTTGCAGAGATTTGCAGGTGGTTTCAGCAGGGCTCGGGCCTTAGTCTCGTCCGTGACCCGATGCATCCCTGCCTCCACATGCTTGCCTGAACACGCCGGGAAAGCATCGCAACGTCATCGTGGAACACAGTTGGGACATGTCGGGCCTGCAGATTGCTTGCAGCGCCGCTTCTAGGTCCTATGCGCCTCCAGTGGTTGCGCACCCGGGAGCTGCGTTGCTAAGCCGCAAGCAGCAGTGTCGGGACTAGTCTGCAACCGTTTGTACGGCAGTAGCATGACATCAGGGTTCTTTGGCTTTAAAAGCTTGTGTCGGTGGAATCGCTTTGTTTGCATTACTTCCTACTTCCGCGAAACAGCGGGAAAATGCATTGTTCATGGGGTGGTGCAGCACAGTTCGGTAATGGCATGTGCCATTTCAGTGACTTCTGACTGGATCTCCGTCTCTCTCAGCTGTTTTCGATCAACATCGAGGTGACTGCTGTATGCGAGGGACAGTTTCTTCGTGAGCCCAATCTGCTCTGATATTCTGCTCTTCGAGCTGCGTGAAGGCAAAGTAGCCATGGGCCACGAAGTCTTTACAGAATGGTGTGGACACTGTGAAACTCCAAACTGCATGTCGGTGAACTGCTTAAATGCCGGCTTCAACCAGGCCACATTCAGAAGAGCATGACTAAAATTGGTGATGCAAAGTTGAAAGTCAATCTGATTTGCGGAAAGTGCTCACGCTTGCGGTGGTATTTCGAAAACGTGTGAGCAACCACATTTGCATCCAGAAAAGTGGCATGTAGCTTTTATCGCAAAGACCACGGCACTAAAGCACAAGATGACCATGCTCACGATCTTGAGAGTGCACAACCACCGGATCCAGAATCTGACAGAGACGGCACAATGCTGGAAACCTGTGACCAGTGGACTGCGTTTGCTGACAGAATCTTCCTTTTGAGATTGATGTTGGGTGTGGAGATGCTTCTTGCACCCCTGGACAAACATGTAGAGAGAAAAACCGCCTGTGCAGGTTCCGCAAAAGGAGTTCTGTACTGACCATGAACAGAGTGTAGAATCTAGATTCTATCTAGATCGACGCCTCGTGTCACGTATTGTCGGGCGTCCGGGAGCTTTGTTGCCCGTTGTTAATTGTTGCTGTGGTCGTCGCTGTGCTCGTGCTGCTACTGTACTGCTTGTGCTGCAGCCTTCTGGTGGTGCTGCTGCTACCGCAGGAGCGGCGGTTGAGGCTGCATCTCTGGTTGCTGGCACAGTTGCTTTTCTCTTTTCTGTGGCCTTTGCCGTTGCTGCTGTGTAATTTCGAATTGTGTTTCAGAGTTCTCGATGACACGTGTAGTCTTCTGGAGAATAACTTCAGCTTGTTGTCACGAATGAGTGTCTTTCATTTAGCTGGAGTTTGGGTTTGCGGAATGCTTGGAGGACGGGAAGGAAGAGCCGACCCTTTGAAGCTTCAATCTGTTTTTCATGCTGCTGCCCCCTTGGTGGATTCGCAGGCTGCGCAGCTCAAGCCTAAAAACGGTACATGACATTATCTGCACCAAGTGACCAAGTGAGCATTTGGCAGCTGCTTTGGGCATGCTGCCCATCGCACCGCCGCAACTCCGCCGCTACTGACTAGCTTCGGCAGCCTTCTCAAGTTTTTGTGCTTCGCTGCCAGTGCGCAGTGGTGGGGGTGACAATCGTCCTGCTGGTGGGACATGCTTACAGCACTTTTGGCTGCGACCTCTTTCTCTACTGTGCCCCCATGATTGCTTAAGGCGTCACCATGTCGCCTTTGCACGGCAGGGTATTAGAGTCAGAAGAGTTGTTGCATGTCTGTAAGGTCTGTGAACCTCACAGACGGCATACCGGACCCAGAATCCATTGAGCAGCGTGGTCACCCGGAGGGAAGCAGTTGCAGCTGCCTTTGGGTTGGGATGAACCCATCGTTTGCTGAAGCCGTTCTGGCCCAACGCCAGCTGAATAGGCTTGGGTAAACTTCTCATGTTCAATTTCAACTTTCGATCCTCTTCGGCATTGCATAGGTTGAATTCGTGTAAGCACCCGCAGGTACGATGCGTGTTTGATCGGATGAGATTGCCCAGTGCACTTCAGCTGTACAGCCCGTACAACACACTCTCCGTTCCCGCACGATTCGAGGCAGAAGCGTGCTTACGAGCGCGGGCTAGATGCGGAGCTGGAGCAGTCCCGATCCCAGCGAAGCCGAATGCAAGTGACTACGGCTACGGACTCGTCTGCTTGGAGGGCCTTTGTGGGTTCTCATCGTATGAGGTTAGGTTCCGATCTCCCATCTTTTGAAAAGGAGCCGAAGTGTTGAGATAGCCAGTCCTATCACCGAGGACACGGAAACTGGCAGAAGAGCAGCTGAAGCAGTCCTACCTGCCAAGTTGACACGAAGAAGCTTTAGAGCAGAGCTCCAAAAAGCGCCGGGCCAGGCAGAAGGCAGCCATTAAGGCTGCAGCAGAGCAGCAGCTGGCCATGTACAAGGCAAAGCTTCTGATACTTCTGATAGCCTAGGGCCTGCCGCATGCACTAGGCTTGTCAGATGCGATCTCGGCTGGATTCACCCAGCTCGTCGCAAAGGGTCTCTGTAGCTGCGCAGGAACCATGGATCCGAGAGGAAAGGAAGTTCTCGCATCCCACTGCAGCACTGCGTGTGCAGGCCCAGGTCGACCAGTCGATTCGGCAACAAGAGCTCAGCCCAGTTCTCGGGAACCCCGGAGGTTTTGTTTTCGAGAGTCTCGCGCTTTGCAAAGCTTGTCTCGGACATTCAGTGTCGACTAAAAGATGGCTTTTGAAGAACAGAGGCCTAGACCACCAGTGGCAGCAGCAGCAGATGGAACTGCAGCAGGTCGACGGGGATGTACCGAAGTTGTTCTGGGACCTTGGGGTGTGCTGCTCGGTACTCGTTCCAGACAGGCGTTTCTGAAGCAGAAGGCGGCACTGGAACAGCAGGCATGCACCTTAGAATTTTTCCGGGAGTTCGAGACCATGCGCACTAGGTGCTGCTGCAGACTGTCGCTGATTAAGTTAGTTTGTGGGTGGCAAGTGTTTGCAGTTTGTTCAAAGATGTTCAGGCCAGCTCCTTAGCCATGGAGTACCAGCAGCGCAAGATGCACGAAGAGCTTCTCAAAAAGCAGGCAGATGGTAAGCGGGGAGGGGGCTCGGGGCTCTCTGTTTCCGGTGTCTAGAACCGAAGCCAGGCCATTGCGAGCAAGCAGAGATCCAGCATGGCAGAATACGAAGGCATTCTAGATATGCCGGGTGATTCTCGCGGCCGTGGATAGGCGGAGATGCAGCGCGAAATGCAGGAGATGCAGCGGCGGATGCATATGGACTGACGGGAAAGGGACTTCGGTGTCTGGATTTTCGCGAGTGGTGGGTCTTTCCTTTCTGCTGTTGGCGGCCGGGCTAGGAAAGAGAGCACATAAGAAACGTTAACACTTCTTGTGCATGGATTTCCCGAAGCGCATCGATTGGCTTTTGAAGGCCAACATGTTTCGGCATTGAGCCAGAAGCCTCAAGTTCTGGGTCGCATACTCGACGAGATCTGATGCAAGGCGTGTTCGAATCTTTTCCAATCTGTTCAGAGGAGGTTAGATTCAGTAAAGGCAATCTGAAGCCGCTCCTAGGCGGAGGCCTGGCTGTAGCGTGGGTCTTTCTTGAACGTTTGTGCTTGTGTTTTTTCACTGCAGCGGAATCCAGTCGTTGATGAGGATGCTAGAGCAGCTTCGGGAATGTCTGCAGCAAGACGAGTCATAGAGTCATAACTTGCGACCCAAACACAAGGTGCTCGTGCCTCGTGCCGGTGGTTTGGTGAGGTCTGGCCCCGCCTTGACCCCTCTCCTTCCCCTTGCGGTCGTGTGCTCGACTAGTGGATGCGATGCTTGCCTTTCTGCCCCCACGAAATCAGGAATGTCACGAACCTCCCCGTTTTCCGGTTTGGTTGTTGGAGCTCGTGTGCTGGATTGTGCTGGCATGCACCTGCAGCTTGCCCTTGGCAGCATGTCTCACAACGGACAGGTGATCAGTCCAGCCTGGTAAGAAAAAGTCTGGTTCAGGCTGGTCAGAAAGTCTGGTCAAATTGTTTGGGTTTCTTGTTCAAGTTGTAGAGTGTCGATGTGCCGCCATCGATCGTAACTTGTGGGTTCTGGACTGACCTCTCGTTTCATCCAGCCGTGGTCTTTCATACCGAGCACATCCCAAGTGTTTCCGAAGCTTTGACTCCAAAGTCACAGATTAGAGGAAAG